AGCACGTCAAGCTACACTTGGATCTTATGTGATTGGGATAAGAGTGATTTTGGCGATTTTGCTATGTACAGTTTATGTGCGGTCGACTGTACTAGAGTAGATGGAACTCATTCATTTATTCCAAGCGAATGTTAGTTTCATGGAGTTTTGTGCATCTTTTAGTATCTATGTATCTTCGGTATGTAGTAGATTACTAATTCTAAAAAATGTAGTAAGAAAAATAAATAGAAATATTATCACACATAGGCAGGTTTTTAAGAAGGCCCAGTTATAAAAAAATGATCCAGGTGTTGTCAGGTGATCAAGAAACAAATTACAAAAAAAATACGTTAATTCCTCATTTCTACCAGTAGTTCTTTACACTTCAACAAAACATCTTGTGGAAAGTCTTTTTTAACATTGATAGTCCCTTATTGATTTTTTAATTCCTCCTCTTTTTTTTTAAAGTCGCTGAGAAATAGTAAAAAATGTTCACCCTTTACTTTTGCTTTTTCACAAAACAAATTGCAACGTCGTAAACTGCATGGCATATTGAAATCCAATGCCACCTTAAGTACTCAACTCTTAAATCAAAATCTGCTTGGACATTTCCTGCGCGTGCGCACGCATACTACACTTCAACTTTCACTTACTATAATCATAATGCTGTCTACATTGTAAAGCATGCTTCCTACTGCACTTCTGGTTTGCAGGGCACTCGATTTTGCATCCAAGCAATTTCGTAATTAGTGTGAATTTTGCATAAATAGCGCGATTATACGATGTCGAACATACAATTTTATGCGTAAATAATTGAGTTGAGCAGTGAAAGGGTTAGAATTGCTGTTGTTTGTGGGTGGGATTGTAAAAGGTTTATAAATACTATAAAATTACTAGCTGTAGTTGGTGTCGGAAATGCTTAGATCTATTTCTAAAACTTACACCGATTATGCAAATTTCTAACTCTCAGTTGCAACTGTTGTAGTAAGACTTTACTTTACTTTAGTTTCTTCTTTTTCTTCTTTTAAGGTGATGACAATTTCTTTACCTTACCTCTCGTAGCAAAAAATCAACTCTAAAATTCCGCATTGCATAAATTCTCATTTACACATTAAACTTGCATAAAGAAGAAAAAATAATGTTTAAAAATAAATATTATTTTTCTGATAAAATAATCTAAATCCATTACCGATTCCAAATTCAAAAGCGTGCAATGTTTACTAAGCACTAATCGCTGCACAGTGGTACATATTTCACTGTCCCCACGGGGTCATTCGGTGCATTATTGAATTTCATCTGCCATTTCTGGGAATGGACCACATGGGGCCGGGGCGTTCGGATTAATTTGGATTTGCCCCATTGTGCGGACTTGAGCAATAGCAAAATTTGGATTAAGTATGGCCAATATTAATCGGCGCAATAAAAATAGGGATTGATTATGTCCCCAAAAATTGATATAAACACGTGGGCAAATAGAAGTGACGACATCTGCGCGATAAGTAATATTACATTTTGAAAAAGATTAATTTGCAAAAGTATCAAATACCTACTGTCCTCTTCTCTTTTTAATCTTTGGGACATTCCACAATTAAGAAGTTAAAAAATAAAGATTGTTCCAAAATTCTAAATAACTCATTTCAATGAGTAGGTACCAGTTGCTACCACTTGCGAGTGTAAAAGTTCTACTGATCATAAATGTTTAAAATTGATCTTTTTTAATTACTTAATACAACGTAAGCTTGTGATTTATATCCTTAAATACCAATAATTATTATTCATAAACTCGTAAAAAGCCCCGTAAACAAATAAGGCAATTTCAGCGCCGTAATCCCACGTGTTTTTCGCAAAAAATATCGATAATCCGAAAAGTTTTTTAATTTAAAAGTTCGGGCCGGACTGCGGGAGGTCAATTCGTTCAAAATTGTTCAAATTGTTCAAAATAAACATGTACCGTTTACTTAGGACGGCATTATGAACGTTTAGAATGAGCTTGTACAACCAACAATGTCCCTGGGCAACGAAAACATGTTCAAAGATGGACGTCGAAATGTTAAGGGTCATTACAGAGCTACATGGTAATGAAACCAAAGGAATATTAAAAATGTGTTTGCTTTTTCGTATTGTATTTGCCTTTTTATACATTTTCTGTATGCCAACATTTATAATGGAGTGGCCTGGTAAATTCTGGCATACAAAAAATAATTAAAGGGTCTTAATTAAAGCTCATTCGCAACAGCATCAACCCTAACAATATTATAAATGTGAATGTTTTTTATTCTTTCACGCTTAAACCCAGAAATTCTGTGTAGAGATTCTTCTTCTCAGCACTGGTCCATTATTGTCCCGAAGCAGTGGTAGGGTTAATACTGGGACGTGTAAAGGTGCTTTTTAAAAGCCTACTTGCAAAGATAAATGAGGTTTATGAGTCTTTTTATGAGACCCAGGAAAACACATTGAATAGTTTTACCGGTTTGGAGATTTGTACGAGTACATTCAAATTCATGCGAGCGAAATCGCGGGCAAAAGCTAGTAAATAATAATCAGATGAGCTGTTGACAGTATAAAATACTAAAGTCTTCTAAAAACCTGTCAGTTATTCGAATGAGCTCGTAAATGAAAGCCAAAGGTGAAATGTATTTATCAACATAGGTACGAGTTCTAAACCGTTATTACACAGAATTCTTGAAGCGTTATATTTTGTGTACGATTCGTATTTTGTATTTGTACCTACAGAATTCGCAACGAAATTTTGCTTTTCACAAAAATTTGAATCCAAATTCTTTTCATTTCTGAAAATGTGCTCCGCATAGTTGGATACAAAATGGGACACAATATAGAAATATCTTGCTTTCCTTGGCGAAACCTTGTGAATGCAGGAATATGGTCGCGATATTTTTCATATTTCCCGAGCTGAGGGTGTAGCGGAATCGAATAGGGTATTAAGGCGATTCTGCACTTTATCGTTCGTCTTCTTTGACGTGTGTAGTTCTATGATATCATTTTTAGTAAAAATACAAGAAAAATGTCGCAAAATTTAATATTGAGTACGTGAAAACGTAAAACATTTATGTACAGTTACAGTTTACGGCACGGGATATCAAGCTTGATATTTTTTTACAGCATAAATAATGCGCTTTCGACTGTATTGTTTGATTTCGATGTAATTATTTCTATTAAAACTCTATTGATCAATATGAATAAATAAAATCCATGCCAAAGGCTGCTGTAGCGACTTACCCAAAAAAATTCGTCTTTTAAAAGAAAATGATTGCTCCTAGCATTATCTTAATAAATTTAATCAACCAAAATCCACAAGCAGCCTTTCCAAACATTTCCAGATACTGTTTTAAATCTCAAAATCCACGTACAAGTCTGTTGATAAAAGTATCTTCGTAATCCGTTACAAGCTTTGTGAGGAATTTCGTCAAAGTATTCGCTAAGTTCAGACTTGAGCTTGAGTTTCGCCGGGTTAAGTTTCACACTCACTTGTTCAAAGAACACACAAGCACAGAGACGTGCCGTGTTTGTAACTGAAGATTTGTAATTAAGAAGTGCCTACGAGTTCTCCTTTAAGAATTTCCTGTCTATGTGAGAATCCGTTAAATTATTTTTGTAACCCTTAAAATCAAAATATCATAGTTCATACGATAGCCTTAATTAATGCTCTATTGCTCTGCAGTTTATTATCAAACAAACTACCTACCTATCATAAGAAACTGAAATAAACATAAATGTATGCTGATTGTTAAAAAATCTGTGTTTAACTTTGTAACTATTGAAAAAAAAAATTCTCCCTTTACTTGGAACCCATCATTTTTTTTATTGGAACATACGACTCGAAATGCTCTGGGGCCAGGAGTGTCCAGGATGCCCCGCCGTGATAAAATCTTATCGATGATTTTAGACGACAAACGTATTGGCATATCACGTAAAATCGATAAAACGGCGTGATAAACGCTTATCGCAGCGCGCATCGGCCTACAGGAGTGTTCAGAATGTCCCGCAGGCTTTTATTAAAATACTTAAACTGGCAACCCCAGCCGTATAAACTCTGATACAAGTTTTGCTTTGTTACAAAGTAACAAACGAGTGTGTTTGGAGACGTTGGAGGAATCCCGAATTAACGCACATGTTCTAACATTCTTTGGGTTCAAAGAGAAGTTGCTTAATTTTACATGATCAGAGAAAAAGGACTGTTATAAATTCAAATGAAAATAATTAGCCGATTTTTAAGTTATTAAATACAATGTTTTTTGTATTAGGTCCTGTATTCTGAATCGATGGCCAAGTAAAAATCTTAAATCAAGCCTGAGATTGGTCTTAATACGTTGAATAAAATAGCCATAAACTTAATATCTTTCCTAGAGATCTCATGAATGCAGTTTTTAGAATTGTTCATAATATTATGTACTTTATGGTCCTGTTTTTCAACCGACTGAATGTGTCTTTATCTTTCTCAAACCGTATAAAAACCGAAGATAGCAAATAAACGAAAATGAAACTATGCCACAGAATAAGTAATGACTATGCATTTCAATGGCCGTTTTAAGAAGTTACCTACTTTAAAAATATATATTTTGTAAATAGTCCAGTCACTTTAAACTCAGTAGGCACAAAAGCTCCCGGATCTCTGCCGTCCCTTGTCCTTGGTCTACCACAGACTACAGCCTGTCTCAGACCTCAGTACAGATTTATTAACTGGATTCCGACATTCTCACATTAAAAACGATTTCCGAATGACTTTGCGAATAAAATTGCAAATGAATTATTCACAGTCTCGGTCGAAGGCCGTGAAATATCCATCGCACGGTTTAGTGCTGGTTTTTGTTCTAGATTTTCTAAGAATAGGCAAAGATTTAGGCAAAAAATGGCGCGCAGAATGGGATTGTTAACGAATTTTCTGCTTTTTGGAAAACAATTTGGCGTGTATCTACATTAATTTAATTGAAATGTAAATGGCTGATTATGATAATTTTATTATTCAATGTTTATTATTCAATGTTTATTTTTCATTGTTACAGATCTATGTGAAGTGAAAACGAGTGAAGTGGTCAATTCTGTGGTGGAAAATGTGCTAGTGAAAGATGTCGCCACGGTGGCGCTGCGGGCGGGTCACGTGACATTTAAAATACAAAATGGCGGACACTAGTCCCGCCACCTCGATAATAGAGGGCACTGTCAAGTTCAGAGATGGGAAAAAGGTGAGTTCACTGAAATGTATCTATTAGAAATAATTTTGTCATTGTGAAAATATTTTAACACACTAGCGGCCGCCCGCGACTTCTTACGCGTGGATCCCGTTTTACCACCTTAGGGGTGGAGTTTCGTAAAATTCTTTCTTAGCGGATGCCTACGTCATAACATTTACCTGCATGCCAAATTTCAGCCCGATCCGTCCAGTGGTTTGGGCTGTGCGTTGATAGATCACTATGTCAGTCAGTCAGTCAGTCACCTTTGAGTTTTATATATTTAGATATCATTAAAAAGAAGCTGAGTGCTGACAGAGGTGACTGAGTTTCTTCCGTCACTTTCTCGTTCGTTCGTATCAGTCAAATGACTAATTCCACTGCTGGACAAAGGACCCCCTTCTCACTCAGCGCGATATGTTGTCCTGAAGTAACTGTAGGGCAAGTTAACGCCCGTATTCAAAAACATTACTATGAGGTCTCACAGTGCGCTTGGACGCACAGGGTGACATACTGTCTCTATTCAACGCTGTGCGTTCAATTTTCTGCTTCCACTTAAGCAAGCATCGTTTGTGTATAGGGGCGTATGACTTGTGTTAGCACCCAGAAAAAAAAGCCTAGATCCTACTTTATTATGTAAAGAATTCTTGGTCGTTGCAACTTGATACACTTAAGTATTTGTTTCAATTTACGTCACACCAACTGAAATTAGATAAATTATACGGAGTGTGTACTTCGTATATTGTTTGCCTATCACATCGATAACTGATAGGGTATCCATTATCAACTTGATAACCGATATTGAGGAATGTGTCGCCATATCGATAACGTTCAAATGATAGTGATGTGACAGTGATACGTCTGTGAACGATGATAATCTGTTATAAGTAAAATAATAAAAAATACTGACAGAATTGGAGACTCCGTCTCGGCAAACGTGGCGTAGGACGACCCTGTTCGATGGACCGATGACCTCAGTAATAGGAGTGGCGGTTGCCTTAAAAAGCCTGATGATGTTCATGTCATAAATCACTTGATCTATTCAACCAAAACAACAAATGAAATCATGAAAGTTAAAAGTCAACTTTACAAAAAAAATGCGTTGAATGGCACTTAAACATTTTAACTCCTTGATTTTAACTGCGCAGATTAAAGTAAATGTATTTTTAGTCACGTAGGTACCTAAAAGCAACGTACTTATTTAATAATGATATTGTAACGATAAAGAAGAAAACAAGGAAAAACGTAACAACTTTGCATAATAAACTTACATAATTGCTTACAAAAACACAAAAATATGTTGTGTTTATTAGATGTTACATTAGATAATTTTACTTGTCGGTAAAGTAACAGCACTACCAGCTCAAGATTGCCTACTTGTGTAAAAGCACGTACCGGTAGTACTTCTGAGAATGTTTTGTAACGGAAAAATGCACTTCATTTTGTAGTTATAACGATTATTATTTCTTGTAAAATTAGCAGACTGAAGACCGTAATTTCCAGCTGTAGGGCACTTTCTAGTGCAAGGAGTGTTATTATTTTTCTTTTTAATCTAGGTCATAATAATATATTGGAAACTAGATTTTGCCTGTGGCTTCACCCGCATTGGTTACGGTTCATTACAGAAAGTCTATATCGTGCGGCCCCGATCAAGAACGCGTTCTATAAAAGCAAAATTATTAATGTTTATATCCGTAATAGTTTAATATTTTATTTTACTTTCTCAATAAAATGGCAATATAATTTGTGACGTTACTTGTTTTTAAATGACAGATAAGCTTTATTTAAACCTTTTTAAGATAGAGATTAGCAAGCTAAAGTGGCAATAGGCACCAGCACGCAGAAAACTGACGGCGGTTGGAACTGTAGTTCTAGAGAGGAAGCCGGCAAACGCAGTGTAGGACGTCCACCCACAAGGTGGACAGACGTCCAGATAACTTCATAAAAGTAGCAGGAAGGTGCTGGACGCAGGCCGCAACCAACCGGCCAATCTGGAAATCATTAGGAGAGGCATTGAACGTCCTGTGACTGAAATGATGATGATCATAAGATTGATATGATAGATCGTGTCATCCACGAAGACGCGCCCCACCAATTTTTGGTTGAGGGAAGCGCGGGGTGCGGGGAGTTTGATCCGAGCAATCCGAGCGTCATAAATTGTAGTGTGCGTGTGCACTCATGGATAATTAAGCGTGTACCGATAACACTTAAACATTAGCGGAAGAATGGTGGGGCGCGTCTTCGTGGATGGCACGATCTAACAACAGAATTTGCGAATTATTCACATGTGAAACTATTCAGTTATGATTTACCCATAGCTAGCTAGCTATTCATAACCTACGAATCCTAGAACCGCGAACCTCCCACATGTTTACAAATCCAGTCTATTGTCACAACATTACGATGTTTTGAATCGATACAATTAGTCATCGACGAAGACTTTGATCGTATCGATTTGACTCACACATACATACTTCCGGTGTCAACGCTGATGGAATTCAAATTGACTGATAGTGGTGGTTCCCCGAAGTATGTATTAAGCATAGCTCCCTTGTAGTTGATATAGCATATCAGGCTATACATTTTCGATGCAAAATCGAACGTATTACAACGATATAAGATGCTACAGGTTTGGCTTGATGTGCGCTTGTCTGGTGCTTCAGTCGCGTGCAGAATAACCTACCTATTGATGAAAATCACAAAAGTTTAAACTTTTAAAGTATGCCGGAAACTTAGAGAAACACGTTGTTTAACACGTTAGAAAGGTCACTTCTTTACTAAACTTATATTGGCATAATAATGTATTATAAGCAGTACCTACCTACCTACATCAATTATTTATCTCTAAAGAGTGCAAATCCTTTTCAAATTGACCCGCTAAGAAATCGAACCTGCGTTCTTACCCAATAAACACTTAACTAGAGGTCTTTACTCTTAAATGCAAAACAATTAATTAATCAATCTATTAGTTTTAGCTCTAAACTTTAGAGCTACAACTACGTTTAATTTAAAGTCTAAAGATTAAACGTTATGCACACGACAAGTCTAGTCTATCGTGTAATATTTGTCGTGTAATAAGTATTTCCATTAAAACTGGCTCGACAAAGTGTTTATCTAGATAATTAGTAACCAGGTCAATGCAGAATGTTTATTATGCGCGATTACAGCTGGCATTTGATTAGCATTGCTAAGAGTAGGCGCACACCGTTGATTTTTCGTCGGCCGATAGTTTAGTCGGGCAGTTGATCAGTATAGGCATGTATGGGAGTGCGCACACTACGCCGATCCGATTTGGCCGATTCTTCATACAAATTAAAATCGGGCACAACTATCGGCCAACTAAAAATCAACGGTGTGCGCCTACTCTAAGGGTACGGCCACACGTTGATAGATTGCTAGTGACTGCTGGTTAGGCTACGGTCACATTATTATTCTGTGCTACGGTCTCCTATTAATCGCTGATGATGATCCATCCGACCGATTTCGGCCATGGCAACCACTCTGTAAACGAACTAAAGTCAATGACAGCCCGACGGATAAGCAAGCTGAAGTGGCAATGAGCAGAGCAGATAGTACGTACGCAGAACTGATGGCCGATGGGGCAGCAAGGTTCTGGAGTGGAGGCCACGTACCGGAAAACGCAGCGTGGGACGTCCACCCACAAGGTGGACCGTCGACTTGATAAAGGTAACAGGATGGCGCTGAATGCAGGCCGCTACCAACCGTGCGGTCTGGAAGTCATTGGAGGAGGCCTGTGTTCAGCAGTGGACGTCCTGTGGCTAAAATGATGATGACCACTCCGACTCCTAGCTGTCTTGGCGGCGCTGGTGTGCTCGAAGATGGCTTACGTAACCGATCTTCGCGGCAAACCCCCTCCACATTGAGGGCATCTGAGCACGCCAACATAGTTATAGTGAATGGCGGCAGATAGACGGGCCTTCAAGTCATCGCGCTTCGTATCGAGTTCAGTTCAGTGCGTCTTAAAGAAACTACATCAGAAAAAAAAGGCTAACGGTTTCCTATTAAACACTATACGCGCTGTATGACGTCAACGCTCCTATAGTCTATCCAATATAGCTTGATTAGAATGACAGCTGCCATCAAAAGTAACGACATAACTTTGTAGTAGCGATCAATGAGAGCTAAATATTGGCGGACAAGAAATAATTCACGTCTGACCTACAAACAATATTTTCGACGACAGTGCTTCCAATAAAAATGTTAATTTCGTGTAAATGCAGCGTTAAATTACACCAACAAGTAGTAATTCGAAATTATAAAAATCAAGCTAGAGTATTAACGACGTCTCTACAAGGTTATCTCGAGTTACAAAAATGTTAGTGTTGGGACATATCGACAAATGTCATATTAAATTAAAACTAATTTTTTAACATATTTAAGTCAAGTTATACGTTTTTCTAAATGTTCACTATTAAAAACCAAAAAACATTTCATTCTTAAATAATCAAACATCTGAAATCAATCACCGGTAATTTGTTGGGTATTCATAGCACCGTTGCTCTAGAAGAGATGCCCACCGCCCTCTAGCGAGAGGAAAAAACCACTGAAGAACACTGATGATAATGACTACGACTTAGGTTGTACACCCTTGACATGAATTTTAAATTTTACTGTCTTTCAATTTAAATCATAATTGTCATTTTTATGAATAAAGATATGAAGAAAAATTGATTGCATTTTTTTATATCATTTTTTCGAAAACTTATCGATACATCTATGTGAACCGTACGAAACATACCCAGCACTAGTCACATTCGTTTGACAGCCGTCATTCTAATCAAGCTATATTGGATAGACTATATCAACGTTATACGCCGATGTCAATGTCAGAAAGAGACCAACAGTACATTTCTTTAGATACCACAGCTTGGCTTTACACTACGATTACATAAATAGGTACCTACTTGACACCATAATAAATTGACATACTTTTTATGAACGGTCAAAACGCACCAATCTTATGTTTTCTGTAGCAATTCAAAGAGCAATTTTGCATAATGTCGTAACATTTCTGCCAACTCAATTTACTCACGAGAATTTCACCCGATGATCGCGTAGAAAAATAAAAAGTCGACAACCACAACAGTATTGGTATCGATACTCGACTTATCGTACTATTAATTAAAGGATAAAATCGATTCCCTATACCGATGGCGTCACGAGCGTTTTGCTGCGTCACCTTGCTAATTAAAAGTTGCAAACACCACAGCTGGGATAGAACAGCCTGTAGATACTTACGTTGTAAATTGCAGTTGCGATTGTATGTACAAACGACAGCATGTCAAGCTATAGGGTCCTATGTAATAGGGACGATTTGCAACAAAAAGGATGACCAGTTAGAAAGGTATAATACACACAATAAGTGCCATGTTCACTACTGAAAGCTCAATCGATAAAGAGTATGTATTCTAATTTACTAATAATTCTAGTCTGCAATAAAATTGTGTATAGCTATTGTAATTAAATTATCTGTAATACAAGTGCCTATAAGTAGAGCTTGAAAATACATTACTCTGAGAAAAAGTATGTCCTCAGCCCTACAGTTTTACGGTCATTGTCTCGTCTTGGCGGAGGCTCTACCATCGTGCCCAGTACCCTCAGATTCACGCGTTTATTAAATGAAGTTCATGAAAGAGTTGGAGTCGTTGCAAGAACATGAATTTACTTTTTACACGATCGAATTCCACAATAACAACTGAATGGTCTGCTTGGTCTCTTTGGTCTACTAACCCATTTATTGTGACGGCTACAAATACTATCATGGATAGTAGTTTTTGTGTCCATAAAACCTACCATTCGGGGACCCCTGCTGGGCAAAAACGTAGAGGGATTCGGTGATACGATAAACCCTGTGACGTAGGTAAATATTTTTAATGACGGCCATTTTTGCAGGGGAATGGCCAATTTTTGGTTATTCATTGCTTTTGGGATGTCGCGAATGATGCCTATTAGTATTATCCAATGATTGTCTCAGGGATTTTTATTTTATTATTCAGCGTGAATGGTTTATGAGGAAAATGTTTTAAATGAATTTTGCGAGTTGAGAATATGTAAGAATATTTATATCCCTAACCTTTGAAAATTTAACTGGATCATAGGTTTCAATAATGTAAAAACCAACTAAAGGCCTAATTTCATTCATAATATTATTTCGTTGTGATTACGCGAAATAGTGTTTGTTGAAATTCAGTGAAATGAAATAAGAACTAGACGATATTAGCCTTTATTTCCAATCCAACGTGCTCATAAGAAATATGAAAATTCATGTCTCGGTTTTCATCATGTAAAATATTTGCACTGTATAGAGTATAAGCTGCCCGATTGTCTAGTCTAATGCTACAATGCTTTAAATTCTGCTACTGACAGTGTTTTTCTAATTAATTCAAATCTACTCTTTACTGGTTGTGACTGGTTCGTTCATTCCAAAATGCAACGTTCCGCTTTGGTCATCTTTTTTGCAGTTCCTCCAAATTGGCACGGCCCAAAGTAATATCGGCTGGAAACGATTAATTCCAGCTATATTTTTCATCAGCAGCTATTCAGGTGATTTTTCCATGCCAAAAGTTCCAATCGGAACGAATCGGAAATTAGCTCTGCCTTTGTAGTTGTTATTCGGAAAATTATTCATTGTTAAAAAGCCAGTGGAAAAGAACAGAACCTTTTTTTGCGGGAAAAGGTGCATTTTTTCCAATGGAACAATTTAATCATTAACTTCCTATATTTTTATAAACCACTATGTTCTTCGCCTCGATCGCATGCATATTTTAAACGCCAATCTTCATGCCAAAATTCATCATGACTCAGCAATAAAACTTAAACAACAAAGTTACATAATAAATGTGGTGCTAGTTGACCTTGAATATGAAAATCGTTTATTTCTCTATACGTCATAACGTACTAACTTACTAACGTAACTGTAACTAACGTCGCGAATGTTCAATTCATTTTGCTATTCTTTGGTCTACCTTTACCATTTAATTATGATGTGAAGAAGGTTTTGAATGTATTTCATGTAATGTTCAAAGAAATATAATACGAGTATTTTCAAAGAAAAACGTTTGGGATGTCTAAATGTAGTAATTAGTAGGTACATGGATAGGGTGAGAATTTGCAACATGATGAAAAAAGCTCTTTAATGTTAAAGTACTTATTTAATGACTTGTCGCATTGCTTCCCATACATTTCCTCACAGACTTAACCACTAATTTGTTTATTACAAAAAACTAAAGACTTTGGACTTAATCTTCTGTGCCCAAAACTAAAAAAAGAATCCTTTTTTATAATCAAAATATTAAAAATATTAATTTGAGCATAATGCTCATGAACATTTGAGTTAATAATGTGAAATTATGTTAATATTATATAATAATAATAATAAGAATTTGAATTTGTAAGAGAAAAGGATAAACTTATCTTTAACTTAGCCTACGTACTATCATTTCAATACAAACTCATCACGAGTCACTGCTAGAGCTAATTCTCTTCAGGACTTTCAAAATTTCAATTTTAGCGTCAAACTTCTGTTGATCGTTCAATTTCCTCAACGCCGGGACTATTGACAATGCGAACTGCCTGTCTTCATCTTCTGTCTCACTCTTTTTCATATCTCCCACCATTTGCAGCAATTCTTGTTTCATATTACCATCTCTTTGGAACATGTTCGCTTGAAACGGCTCCTCTTCTATTTGGACATAATGATGATTGCTAGAAGATTCTTCATAAGCTGATCTTCTGTCTGAGTCTTCAGACTCCATATTAAACATTTGTGATTCCAAAGGATCATTGGAGTCTTCGTCCACAGGTTCTTTGATATCAGGAGCTTCGGGAATTTCATCAGGATTAATCAGAAAGGTCAGTTTGTCGAAGTGAATGTATTTTCTTCTTTTCTTGAAATCGGAATCGGAGGTGGAGTTTTCTCTGCCTCTCATTTCTTTTTTCTGTAGAGACAGTTCTCTTGTGAAGCATGTGCGGATGTTCTTCCATCGCCTTTGAAGGTCGTGGGCTGAAACAAAAGTGAAATGTTAATTTTAAACACTGTACAATGTTTTTTACCTTCCTTTCCCTCTCCAAAGGTTGTTAAAATGACATCGCTTCCCAGCGATAATACTCAAATTGTGCCTTTAACTTATTACCAGTTTAAACTAAAGAGTGAGAGAGTCACAAAAGTCATTCATTTTCTGTAAATAGGTTTTTAAAAAGCGCATTTACACGTCCCAGTATTAGTTAAACCGTACTGCTTCGGGACAATAAACGGGCTGGTGCTGAGAAGAAGCAGTCAGCTTAGTACATAATATCTACTGGGGCGGAGCCGCGAAAGAATGTCTAGGCCGTCTAGCTCGGACAATAACTCGCAGCTCCGTTCCAAAGACTTCGGGAGGACACCGTCAGGTTTTAGTGAGTAGACCCTGCCCATCTGGCAGGGAAAGGCTCACATAACCCACTGGTTCCCCCAGGCCAGTGGGTATGCAATTTCATGTATTTCCTGACGAAAAAAAGTACATAATATCTAATGTTTTCATAGCTTTTTCGTGAGATAAAAGAAAATAGGTCAATAATGTTTCTCCATTCTTCACATTACTTCTCAAACGCGTATCTCATTCACGCACGTAGCGAATCTTGAATAATGTAGCATCGACTTTCCGCACGTACGAGTGCTATGAAATCTATGAAGATTCATTCCTAAAGCCTTGATCACACGTACCGAGTAAACGGGCGAGACAGTAAAATGTTTACTCGGTCGAGACAGTTGGGTGAACGAGTCCCATACTAGAGCGCTCGGCCGAGCACTCCGCGTAATGTTCATACACACCGAGTACTCGGCCGAGAGCACTGTCTCGCCCGTTTGCTCGGTACGTGTGATCAAGGCTTTACAGTGAACAATGTCGTGCAATGAATGACAGATTGAAGTTCAATTTTCTCCTTTGAATTTGCCTTTTTTTTAATGTGACAAGAGACAAACGAGCAAACGGATCACCTGATGGTAAGTGATTACCGTATGTATGGTATGGTCCTTGCCTATGCTTGAAGATCTTTGATTGAAGCGTACGCACTTATTCACAAACATTACTATGAGGTCTCACAGTGCGCGTGGAGGCACAGGGTGACACACGAACCAAACAGCGCTCTATTCAACGCTCGCTGTGCGTTCGATTTGCGCAAGCATCGTTTGTGAATATGGACGTTAATTACCTAACCAAAATAATTCTTAAGAAAATATTATGAAAACGATGCCATTCCTTCTCATGAATGACTGACAGATTTGAGTTCACTTTACCTCTTTGAATTTCCTAAGTAAAGTTTTGTTTAAGTTGCACAATTCATTTTTCTAATACCTGTGGTACATTTCGAATAGAATTTCCACGTAAGCAGAATGTCGTATTCTTTAATTCACTGGATAACATCTACGGTTGGGACAGGGACATAGACTTATAGACTACATGGATCTAAAGACGCCGCAAAATTGCGATGCCGTTGTGTGGCATTTGGAAAATACACATCAGTTGCTTATTCAACACCTTTGTGATGAAATTGTCATCACATATAAATCAGAATTTATTAAAAAAAAGCTTAAGACTTTTTTCTGAAAATTACCTATTTATGTACATTTGGCTTAACCTATGCCAATGACCGCAAGAAACATGGAAAAAGAAACAAACTAAGTTGGGAAGAGCTTTCGAAACTAAATGAATTATAACAATTAACATTTTTAAATATTAGCTATTTTACCTAACCTACAAAACTTTTATTCTAATGATCTGTTCAAATCTAAAAAATAATATTGTAAATAAAGAGCATAAAATATTCTCCTTACCTAGAAAATAAAAGAAAAAAATAAATAAATATAAAAATTTACTTTTTCAATTAACAAATTATACCGAACATTTTCAGAAGACGACTTTCGAGTTTCTTGTATTTATTATTGCGCCATCTCCTAGATGACATTTATGTGTTAACAAAATACAAAGCGGTGTCTATTCCTTTAACTTGTCTCCAACGAGACTCGAATCCCGTATTCGGCCCACGAGCGCGTTGTTGATAGAAAACTACCGTCCAGAACGAGTCAGCTCGCCGCAACTAGATTGGAAGGTGCTCAAAAAGATATAGTTTCGTCAAAAAGATATAGATCCGGATCCCAGTTAATGAGGTTAGGTTTGAAAGGGTTCGGGAGTTTAGTTTTGGGTCGAGGGTCAATAGGATGTGGACATACTTTGTGTGGTTAGTAGAAGTAGGAATTTCAGCAAATGGGTTCCTGTTTCAGATTTTTTTTTAATCTGTCCTTTTAGTTAGGTGCTTATATTAGGTATCTAAGAGTAAAATAAAAATAAGAACATTTATTTTAGACCTGAGCCCATAAAATTCGAATATTATGAGAATTTATTTCACTACTGGATAAGTTTCGATACTTATGCATTTTAAAAATTTGTACAAGTAAAATAGACGCAAGCTCCACTTAAAGTCTGGAAGAGATTGCTCCCTAGCGAGCAATAAAACTACCTAAATTAATGCCTTTTCAATTTTTATATTTCTCGTAATTATTGTCATTTTGGGGTTAGTTTGCACCAAAGAGAGTTTATTTAAATCAACCTATTTTGACACATAAAAACGTGTTGCCGTCATTTTGACACCAATGACTGAATTCATAAGACGATCCCGAAATTGTGCTCGAAATTAGCTACATACAGAATACATAATAGTGTATTAGTGTGATACCTCCTGTCAACGTGTGTTGCTCATGGTTAGCCCCAATTACTCCGGCTACCCGCAATTGCACCGTCATATTGCCTAATACGAAGTGGGTTGAATATTATGCGTATTTGGCAAATTAATATTGAGAATGTGTTAATGATTTCTCATAATAAAATAAAATAGTCTCGTAATCATAATAACTGCACTCAAGTTATTTTGAGATGTTACCTACTTATTTAGGCTGGGTTGCACCATCTTACTTTAACTTTGACAAATGTCAAAAATCTGTCAAAAACAAAAAACACCGGTTACCGTCAAAGTTACTGCCAAAGTTTGGTGATACAACTCAGCCTAAGTGCTAATGAGGATTAGATTAGATGGCGCACTGTTCAAGGATAGGCATTATTTTAATCTGACAAATAACATTGATTTCATTATTTCATTGCAAACAACGTAAAAAATATCAAAATATTCTTAAATGATAATTTTAAACCTACTTAACTACTGCAATCCGATTTAATAAGAGAATTCTATGAAGTTTAGTTCTAGCCATAACATGCAAAGTTCTTATCAGCGCTGTTTATCGCGCAATAAAAATTAGCCGACGACTCACAGCAACTAACCTTTAATACTGGTTTATCAGTTGCCATGACACTCGAGAACGTCTAATCGTGTACACACGATTTAGTATCTTATTTATTTGTAATAGATGCTATTTTGCAAAAGAAATGTTTGCTTTGATGTGCTGTATATTGTATGTGTGCATCATTGAAAAAACATATTTACTTAGCAAATGTTATTAGTTGTACTGACTGACACCGGTATTTATCGGTTATTCGTGACAAACGAAGGTTATTGATGTTTGTTCTCATTGCCCAAGTTTTATAAAAATAACATTGACTTAGCAATTTACCGCGCAACTGCGGCATCGTGACGTCACAACGCAATAATTAGTCCTCAAAACTTCAAAAGGATACGAAACCGAACTTTAACCACCTTCAGTTATGTCCAAAGAAATGTGATTACGTAGAACAACAACGCTAAAGTATTTTATAAATAGAAAGCCCACAAAATCGAGCGCAGTTTATTAATACGAACCAGTTGCGAATAATTCACCGCGCAACCGTATTCCTAGCGGCATACGTACCATATTCGAGTTTCCTCCTTGGACTGATGTTGCCCCATTCTGGAAAAACTTCACGGCACACTTCTTTCCAGAGACCTCCCTTGTATTTGCCATGATTGTGGTAGTTCAGATTGGTCTTGCTGTATAGAGCTGCCCGTTTTTTCACGGCTCCGATCAGTTTTTCCGTGCTAATTTCGACCTTCGGTTCGTAGTCCATTGTCGCGGCAGTCGCGCGAGCGGTCGCGTCGGCGCGTGACGGGCAACTAAGATGGCGGACGCGTGGCGCCACTGTCGAGCAACTATTGCGACAACTCAACGATCGCCGCGTGTGGTGTAGGGCGCGCATGATTTGGAAATTTATTTTAGGATAACGACACTTTTTGTCTTGTTTATTTTTATCCGTTAATAAATAGGATTTTTACAGGTCTGTGGTACTTTTAAGTTTCAGATAGTTGATCTTGACTGACATGCTATCTTTAAATAATAAGACGTTTGTTTAGGTGACTTTTTAATGTTCTGCTAAAGTACCAAACCTATGAAATAATAAGTTGTTGTTCAACTGACTTTTTCAGTACTTTTTTAAACAGTTCTAAGCAAATTACATAGTAATAAGATTTTTTCTTTTTGTTTCAGTGGAAATCAAGATGGTGTGTTATGCGCAAGCTGTCTCCTGTAGCAGGTAAGCCTTTATACCTAATTTTACTATTTCATTTTCTTTGTCTACAAAATTTTGAATTAAATTTAACATTTTTATATTGACAAGACTCATGCTCACACTATTTTGACTTGGAGCCATGAATCGACGTAATCTTGGCAAGTGCATATTAGCCGGCTTATTTTGGTAATGGATTTTTTCCAAAATAACTAACACGACTAGTGTGTTCCATTCTAAGAAGACAAAGTACCGGAATATAATAAAACTGGCTTAGTCACTATTGGAAATAATGTTCATACCATAAAAGCAAAGCACGATTAAAATGATCCTCATTATGCGTAAGCAAAAAATATTTTACGTTGATGTCCTTCCACGTCAAGCATCATAGTGCTACGAGTCAAATGACGTAACATTTTTACTAAACGTCTGACTGATATCATACAAAAACGTTGTTTAAAAATAAATAGCATTTTACCTGTAATATTTAGTACTGTTGTATTAATGTTCTGATAAATCACATACTTAATACTTTACTGTAGTAAAACACATTAGCGCATTTGGTCTTATAATTTAAGCAGTTATACAATGTGGACCCAGTTAGGGCACATCAACTTTAGGAAGGAGGCAGAACGATCTTAGCGGTTATTAAAAGTCACATTATTAAATTTATATCTAGCACATGTCTTCATGCGTTCTTCTTCCATGATTAACAAAGCATTATGCATTAGTATCATCTTATCTATTTAGTTGCGACTTACGGCGATGAACTCAGAGGAAGTGGAAACTTCTCCGCATCCGAGCAACCGACAAATCGGCAATCTGTCGAGTAAGAGGGTTCCCTTAGTTGTTTGTTAATTTCCTCTTAGTTCCCTCTTATTTGATTAAGCAGTTCTTAAGAAATACATAATGGATGTAACCGATATACTGATACTACCTTTTACTTTATATACCAGATATTGTTGACTGAATTATTGATACTATGTTTTGAATTTTATTAAAATAACTTAAGGTTCAAAACCTTTGAAAATATATTTTTATTTTACAGAGAAAAATTGAGAAACAGATTAGGTTTTTGTACTTTTGTGTCATTATTGTGCTTTTGAAATATTTTGTGTGCTAATAATAAAGTAATTCTAAATCATTTTTGTAATGTGAAATGTCTGTATAAAATCATTAATAAGTGATTTGAAATGAATTGATTATGAAGTGAAATTAATTAGCACTCATAATAGCGAAATAGCTTTTAGCGAGCCTGAAAATAATATTATGTCAAACTATCGTAACCTGATTATGACATTTCCTTCACCTTAAATACGTCAACCAAGAATAACAAACAAGATACCAATCTCAAGTAAACCTACTAAATTATTGCACTAAACCGCCTAAAGCCTCAGACACCCATAATAGGGCACCGACAATTTATTTGCCATAGACAAGGGTGCCCAAAGAGGGGAGAACCCATTAAAGTCTCGTGAGGAGATAACGGAGGATAAATCCCAAAGCAATCGGTAGGGGAAAGTAGTTTTCTAAGCCATTAATAAGCAACAAACCCAAACGTAGATCCGAAGAGAAGTAAGGCATAAATACAAATCAGTCGTTTTTTTCGCAGACAACAGAATTTTATCGACTGATACGATAGTTTAGTCGCTTCTAATTTGATTTGTATGGCTGAGGAATCGGCCGATACCAAATCGGTGTGATGTGCCTTTCATACATGACTGATTAACAGCCCGATCAAGCTAACGGCCGACAAAAATTCAATCTGCGGGTGTCTAGAATGCAAGTCCTTTAACAATTTGGATGGCATAGCGGTCACTAATAATTATGACGCGCATTTAATAATTTTCAATTGTGTCTAGTTTTTGCTTTCTGTGAAGAAGAATGTTTTAAAAAATCGGCGGATTACCATCATAAGTACTTAAAACTAGTTGTCCTGATTTTTTTCCCAAAAATGTACACTCTCTAGCTAGCGTTTTAATTCCTCAGAAATGTAATCTTTCTATGATGACGTGACCTTACAATATCCTACGAATATTCCTGATTATCGTCATCATTACAGCCATAGGATCTTCCCTCAATGATTTCTATATCGCTCGGTTGGTAGCGGACTGCATCCAGCGCCTTCCTACTACCTTTATGAGGTCGTACCTACAATACAAATAAGTAATTTATTATGTATTATTGTTACTTACATTACGTTACAGTTCAAATTATTCATAATGCATTACTTATCTATTCACCTTCACTAGAATAAGACAAACAAAAATACCTATAAACAATTCTGTTCCACGATTGATGCATAATTAATTTCTCAGTAAAAACATATCACACTATTTTGCATTCGCGATGAACTTTATTATCTATTCAACAAGAAACATAATCGCGAGAACGTTTAAACTTTAACTTGGTATTAAAAGCAGGTAACAATTTCCTAACCTTCAGACGGCCTTGGGATGTTTTTGTACCAAAAGCAACACAAATTCTATTGCAAAATCGAACTTAATACAACTGTATAAGATGCTACAGTGTATAACTTGATGTGCCGTCATCTGCTAGTGCAAGACTATCGGATTTGAATCCAAGAAGCTACAAGTTTGTGGTTAAAATTCCATTAAGTTAAGATGAAATGAATACTTACTATTAAATACATCTGATTATTTGTTTTTTAAGAATTTACTACTTATTCATTCGTGTTCTTAGAACCAAGAAGAACGTAAGTAATGATTAAAACAAAAAAAATGTGCTTTAAGAATCATTGGAGGCAAACTATTCTCAGTTAGAGTAGGCGCACACCGTTGATTTTTCGTCGGCCGATAGTTTAGTCGGGCTGTTGATCAGTATGGGCATGTATGGGAGTGCGCACACTACGCCGATTCGATTTGGCCGATTCTTCATACAATTTAAAATCGGGCACAACTATCGGCCAACTAAAAATCAACGGTGTGCGCCTACTCTTAAGGAAAATAACCGAATAGGTACTAAACTACTTAAGGCTGAGTTTCATCACCTTATTTTAACCGTGACTTTAACGATAACCGATATTTTTTGTGTTGAGTTTGACAGATTTTTGACGTTTGTCAAAGTTAAAGTAAGATGGTGCAACTCAGCCTAAGTAAGTATACAGTATTAAAATCGAGGCTTCCGGCTACTGGGACCGCAATTAACTAGGACCACGGTCCCAGTCGCCGGATCCATAAAAAAAAAAAAATTCTTCCGGCGACTGGGACCACTCATAGATAACTTAAAAGAAAATATTATTCAATCCAAAATTGGTACAGTACTAAAATCCATGAGTGGTCCCAGTCGCCGGAAGAAAATTATTTAATTTNAAAAAAAAATTCTTCCGGCGACTGGGACCACTCATAGATAACTTAAAAGAAAATATTATTCAATCCAAAATTGGTACAGTACTAAAATCCATGAGTGGTCCCAGTCGCCGGAAGAAAATTATTTAATTTTTACGCATCCGGCGACTGGAACCGCGGTCCCAGTTAATTGCGGTCCCAGTTGACGGAATCCTCTTAAAATCACGGTAGGTTCTAGGATTTTTAAATAACTGAAAACTCTTCTTACATTGCTTAACTTAATTTAATACAGTCACAGTCTTATCATCAAAACATTTTAAAGGCCCTACCTATCAAACCGCGAAATCTGAAGCACATTCGCCTCACGTGCCGAAACATCTAAATTTCAAGCGCGTAACACTCCCGTTCTTTTAGTATCTTTTATTTTCCTTAGGGACACCCAGACCCTAACTCCCACTGATAGATAAGTTTATCCCGCTGTAAACTAAGGGTTGAAGTTTAGGCTGTAAGTTGGTTACGTTGTTCTTAGTTTTGTCCAAGGCAAGTTTACTTTGCCTTTGATTCAAAGATTTCCTTTTTACTTGCAATGTACTAATTTACAAAAGGTAGTTAAATTTTTATTGTTAGGTATATTATCAATCATTTTATTATCAGCCTAAGGATTAATTATTTTACAGCTACAGCTTTGCGTTAATCTTTTAATTTCTAATTATGTATTGTATTTGTTTAATACTTAATAAACACAAAACTAGTATAAATATCCACGTTGACTCCTACTTTCTTCAAAGATCAGCAAAATAGCTTGCAAAAACCTTGCGAATTTTGTAAAATTTTAATTTCACCAAAGCCCTAAGATATTCTTAATGTAGATCTTGTTACAAATTTCAATGAATGTATATTTACACTGTCATTCACAAATTCTATACTTCCGAGAAATGTTGAGTCAACCAGTTAAACGTATTTGGGTCGAACAGACCGCACGGCGACAATTCACAGTTAAGTACAATACCGTATGCATAAAAAGATTATGGCCGACCTTGAGTAAACAACAACTACTTACTCGTAATTTTTTTTTGGACTTCTGCTTTATTGTGAAATCTCCTGTGAAAATCCTTAACAAATTCTTCGGTCTTACATCTATCCATACTCAATTCAATAAAAGAGAAAAAAACCTCTCCAGTAGGCCTAAGATGCGCGCCATGATAGGCGGATATCACGCCATTTTATCGATTTTGCCCATACATTTTGACGTCGATAAAAGTTATCACGGCGCGCATCTTAGGCCTACAGGTGTGAAATAGTTAAGTAAAAGTTTATTTAAATTAACCACTTAATTCTTTAGTAATCGCCAACTCGGCATGCAAATTCAATTTTCTAATGTCCTTATAAGAACTAGGTAGGATATACTTAAAAGGTATGCCCTTGGTAGGTAATTCGTTCCTAAATAAGAAGAAAGGCTGGATAGAATTTTAAATGGCTGAATGGCGAAACTACTTATCCGGTTTGTTGTAAAGTTGCTTTTGCAAATTGTAATAAAAACTACATACAGTCAAACATAGAACCTCTTTGCTTTTTGGACTTTATTTATATCACCAATATTTCTAAAATGTTTGTGTTTATTCTGTCGTTTATTTATTCTCACTCAAAATCGTGGGTGCCTCAGAGCGCTGGAATGGCCCAGAAGATAAGGAAACAGGTAAAAACAGACGTTTAGGCGTTAAACGATTGCGATTTTTTTAACGATATTACAATATTTTCTTCGAAATTTCATTTCATTTCACATAGGAGATCATAACCAAAATAATTTGCTATCTAACCCATTGTCTTTATCGTTTGTGCAACAGGCACTAAAACATATCAATACGAAACGCACAATAAACCCACGGTTCAACATCTAACGGAGGGGACTTCAAAGGGTTTACGAGAGAGGAAATAATATTACATCCACCTGAGGGTGAATGTACAACACAAGCTTAACACTAAGGTCTCTATTGCTTTGTAATAGGAGCTATTTTTCAACAAAATTGTATAGTATGATGTGCTGTCGTCTGACCTCTCCAGGTGAGCCTGAGGATGGTTCTTTTGAACGTTTTGTGATAGAAGAAACGGATCACAATACGAAGTTGATTTGCCGTTTATTTCAAATTAATTTCTGCCCACGCTTGTTGATTTCTGTCTTAGATTATACAGAATATCTAAATAATATATAACTCAAAGGTGACTGACTGACTGACTGACTGACTGACTGACATAGTTATCTATCAACGCACAGCCCAAACCACTGGACGGATCAGGCTGAAATTTGGCATGCAGGTAGATGTTATGACGAAGGCATCCGCTAAGAAAGGATTTTACGAAACTCCACCCCTAAGGGGGTAAAACGGGATTCAAGCGTACGAAGTCGCGGACGGCCGCTAGTTCTACAATAAAGAATTTAAGTTTCGCGTTCCATTTCAAACTAAAATAGAAAGACACGCGACATAAGACTGAGTTACAATATGTACTCACGGCTTGTGACCACGGCTGCAGCTGGCCTGAAACGTTGTGGAAATTGTAATAATTTTCAGTTTTCTATGATGCCAAAAGTGTTATCTATCTATCTGTATTTTATACTTAGGCAATAAAGATTACCTTTAGTTTATATCCGTAACATCAAACTGAATTATTCTACTGGAACTCCAGTCGTAACTTTTAAAGTAGGCTCTAAAAACTTTTTTGCGACGGACTCTTTCAACTACACTCGTAGGTGCCATTATTTTTTTCCCAAAACACACCTTAGCCGTTACGCTCCAGTGACGGACCGTAAAAAATATTTTAATATTTTTACGACAACATTAACCATAATCAGCACGTTAAAATCTTAATTAACATGGTCTGCCCATCAACCACAGACTAGTTAGTGGAGTGGACGCCACGCCACATAATAATGGCAGAACTATTCACTATTTATTATTTGTTATTATTACTTCTAATTTTTTATGCAGAGCCAGGCAAATATTTGACTGCAGTTGAAACACAAAATAATAATACTTAGGTACTATGTTTGTCGATTTTTTTCAGGTAGTGAGTGACTACTTTACTTCTTAGTGCACCGCTTGATCTTTTGTAGGACAATGTTTAGATGTTTTTAAAATACAAAATGGCTTACCTAATAATTGGTTGGCAAACAAGTTATAACTATAATGATAACTAATTATCACTGCTGTGTGTAGTAAAAATTTTGTTTTTACCCAATTGAAAATGTTCAATATGTGAGTACTAATGTAACTCACTATAATAATGTCGTCTTAAGACCCGTATTTCTCAATTTTAATTGTATTGGAACGCGAAAGTTTATTCTCAAAATGTTCACTCTTATTCAATGTGACCTCTAATAAATGTAAGTTGTCTACAACATTTCCTAATTATCCAACTCTATTTAAACACCCAAATGAGTTTTCGCCAAACGAGCGTTTTACGACAAAAAAAAAAGTTTTTTGAAAGTTGGCAAAAAACCGTTGTCCCAATTCATTTTATTGTTTTGAACTTTCGAGAAGTATGAAAATGATGAGGTTGTAGCATAAACGTTTATTAAATTAGTATTTTTATTCTCTCATTCTAATTATTTTTAATGCAATGCAAATAACTTAATTATTTATGCAATCATTAATAATTTCCACGAATTCATGCCTGAAACCTGAATAGGTTAAACATAGAGCTCAAAAATTAAAATTTATATTAAGCTTTTTACACCTATGTTTATGAATGAATAAATAATTTCATTTGATTTTATTTATGTTTGATTTTAACTACATAAATCTTCTTACTCTTTATGTACGAGTAAGTACATGTATTATGTAGGCACGAAGTGCTAGAAGTTAACTAAGTGATTATTATCAATATCAAGTAAGGGCTAGATTTAACTTTATCATAAAGTATTTTCTTATCTTTTCCACTCTCAGTTTTTATGTGAACCAAAGATCACGCGATTGGAACTGCAAAAACTAGTTCTTTGTATGATATAATAATCTCGTTATTTTGTAAACATTTATAAATACGTTTTGACCGTCAAAGCCGCATTAATATAGACAGGTTATTGTTAAGAGAGCTGTCAGTTTTATTGATTTGCAAACCTTGGTATAATACGTTATTGATATTGATATTATTCATAATGCATTCGTTTATTTTTTTAAGATAAGCTCGGAAAGGTTAACAAAGTTTCTTAACAGTTCTGAGGCTATCGTGTTTTTAATAACTCTACTACCTAACCACTAGTTATACTTATGCGAACGAATTCAAAAATAATTTCATAAAACTTTTCCTTATTTTATTTGTTATTTTTTTCCTATATTAACGTGTCATTACTACGATCGCATGTGAAAATAATGAAAGTCAAATGAGATAACAAACAAATGTACGGGATAATCATGTTTGGACAGCTATTTGGTGGTATTATCTATTTACTTTTAGGGCACAATATTTAATTATAGCACAATCACAACGGTGTCTGTGTGACTTGAGATTCGAGGAAAGCTGGTTCGAAACCTACCGCTAGACTATTGTTGTAGCAAACGCACCACGATTAAAAGGCGATTGGTGGCTTCCTGCTACACCTGGATCAAACCGTAGAAGGCTTGCCGGTAAAAAGGGATCGATGTTCTGTACGAGCAGTACGCAATGACAAAATACTATGCACTCACGTACCTTGAGCAGATCGTTGACAGTTCCACCTCGAGTATGGGCATCAGCAGTTGGGAATTCCTTGGTTTCTAGCACATTTGGGCGTGTAGATGATGAGGTAAGTTGAGATTACATGGGAGGGTGACTAGCACACGCGTCGACGGGCCCGTTAGATACGAATAGAAGATGGCGATGTGACCGGTGCGGCCTCCAAAGCGTGACTGCCCTCAAGTTGTCAATAAAAATCCAACTCGAAGGACGGAGCGCAAAAGCAGCCTAGTTTGACTGCGTTTTGTCACTACATTGATACTTATGCAGAGACATCGATACCCGCGATTATTATGAAAATTAAACGAAAAGTTACGATGACGGAACATCCCGCCCACCAAAATATCTATGGTATTTTCTGGTTAATAACTAACGCTAAGACTGATAAACGATATATACGATAAACTATTGATAAAACTAAAACTAAGTTTACGAAAAACGATATGATACGAATACGATACGAGATTGAAATTAAGTTAGGCCTCGATTGGCAGAGGGCATAACTTAACCAATGGACGCTGAATCAAGTTATTGGTTGCAGTTTTAACCATGGCGATTCTAACGATTCCGTCAGCTCCAGCAATGAGCTGCTGTACCCTACCGAGGGTCCAGTGTAACGGCGCTCGATTGTCATCCTTAATGATGACCATCGATCCTACAGCTAATGGTTTTGAATCTTTTGTCCATTTAGCGCGTTGCGTTAAAGAGTTAAGGTATTCGTGTTTCCATCTGGACCAGAAATTCTGATGGAAAGATTGCAACAACTGCCACCGATGAAGCCGATTAATGTTAATGGAAGAAAGATCTTCATCGGGGACCGCTGTTAACGGTTCTAACGTTAAGAAATGACCTGGTGTCAATGCTGACAGATCGCTGGGATCAGCACTTACGGGACACAACGGTCTCGAATTTAAAATGGCTTCGATTTGTACGAAAAGTGTCGTCAGCTCTTCAAAAGTTAAGACTTGATCGCCAACGACCCGATATAAATGACTTTTAGCCGCTTTTATTTGTATCTCCCAAACACCTCCGAAGTGGGGAGCCGAGGGAGGATTGAATTTGAACTCAATCTTCTCCGCTTGTGAAGCATCTTGCATTAACGATGCAAGTTGGTTTCGAGTACCGACGAAGTTGGTTCCACAATCGGCATGTATGACATTGCAACGACCGCGACGTGCTACGAAACGGCGAAGAGCAGCGATGAAACCGTCTGTGGATAGCGTAGACACGACCTCCAAGTGGACCGCCTTAGTTGCGAGGCATATAAACAGACAGAGGTACGCTTTATCGATCTTCGCGCCACGATGAGGACCTAATTTTATGCGGAACGGTCCGCCAAAATCGACACCCACCACAGAGAAAGGCTTCACCTGGTTAACACGGTAAGCCGGAAGGTCGCTCATGAACGGTTGCAATGGCTGTGGATGCAATCGGTAGCAATTTATACATTTAGCCAGAATGCGGCGAATTGTCCGTTTTGCAGAAACTACCCAAAATTGCTGTAAGAGCAAAAAATGAGTCGTATTAACGCCTGGGTGACAATAGCTACGATGGATGAAATTGATTATTAGATCAGTCAGCGAATGATCTGAGGGTAACAGAGCAGGATGTTTGTGATCATATTCCAGCCCTGAGCGTGAAAGTCTACCGCCCACCCTGAGGCAACCAAAGTCGTCGATAAACGGATTAAGTTTTCGAAATTGTTTTGCTAAAGGTTTTTGAGATTTGAGATTAGCAATCTCATTTGAAAAGGTTTGAAGTTGTGTGTGTTTAACTAACTGCATTAACGCGTTGTGACGTTCGACGTTATTTATGAAAATGCTTTCATGTTTATTACAGCGCTTTCGAAGTCGGTTGATAAAACGATTAACATACGATAGAACGTTTAAAAGTTTTTGTAAAGATGAAAATCTGTTCGTCAAGTCGGTTAAAACGTTAAAATTGTCGCTTTCATTTACATTTCCCGTCACTAATGCCACTGACTTGCGAGATTCAGCCTGTACAAGATCCTCGTCCTGCTTTGATAAAGCAAGAGAATGAGAAGGCCACGACTCTTTCTCCTGTGACAGCCAACACGGTCCCGCCCACCATAAGGAATTATTTAAAATTTCATTAGGAAGAAGTCCGCGAGAACAGATGTCAGCTGGATTGTCTCCAGAAGAAACGTGGTGCCAACATTCAGAAGGTGCGATTTCTTGTATGTGACTTACACGATTTGCTACAAAAGTGGTCCATCGAGAAGAATGGGAACGAAGCCAGGACAAAACGATCGTAGCATCTGACCACAAGAAAACTGAATTGATGGGAATGTCAGAAAGGTAAGTGTCACGAACATATTTGTATAGGTCAGCTAATAAAACTGCAGCGCAAAGCTCCAATCGAGGCAATGGAATACGTTTCAGAGGAACTACTCGAGCTTTAGAGCAAACAAAAAAAACTTTAACGTTACCAGTCTCATCAACTGTGCGTAAGTAAATGACAGCGCCATAAGCGATCTCGGAACTGTCACAGAAGCCATGCAGTTCATACGATTTTGAATTCGAACAGGTAAGTTTGCGTGGTATACGAAGACGAGTAAGATTCGGAAGTTGATCGGAATAAGAAGTCCATGAACGGACGACTTCGATAGGTGGCGTTTCGTCCCAATCTACACCGAGAATCCAAAGTTTTTGGATCAAGCATTTAGCTTGGATTGTGATTGGTGAAAGAAAGCCGAGGGGATCAAAAATCCGAGCGAGTTCGCTTAGAATAGAACGTTTTGTGCACGGTTTAATTTCAGGTTTTACTGAGAAAAGAAAAGAATCGGATGAAGGGTCCCATTTAAGGCCGAGAACCTTCAACGGCGAGGGTTCCGCTTGGTCAAGAGATACTGAACCTTGTAGGTGTAGTTCAATGGGCAAATCAGACAAGAGCTGCGGTTCGTTGCTAACCCACTTCCGCAATTCAAAACGACCCAAGTTAAAAAGTTTGATAAGTTGCGTCTTTGCTTCTTGAGCAACGTCAAAGCTGTCAAATCCGCAAACCACATCGTCGACATACACGTGCGATTTAATGATTTGTTTCGCCAGAGGATATGCATCTCCTTCATCATCAGCAAGCTGTCGCAAAGTACGGCAAGCGAGATAAGGAGATGAAGCGACACCGTAAGTGACCGTATTCAAACGATACTCTCGAAGCACGTCGCTGGGCGACGGTCTCCAGAGAATACGTTGATACTCTCGGTGATCAGGCGAAACTAAAATCTGCCGATACATTTGGCGAACATCAGCCATGACGACGATTTGATGTTGTCGAAAGTTTAAAAGAATTTTAAAAATGTCGGGTTGTAACTTTGGACCGATTAATTGCGTGTCATTAAAAGAACGAGCGTTTAAGTCTTTTGCAGACGCATCGAACACAACGCGAAGACGTGTCGTTGTGGAGTCAGGACGTAAGACACAGTGATGTGGGATGTAATATTTACCCCTGCCCATTTGATCGAGTGGCACTAGTGACATGTGATTGGACTCGATATAGTCTGACATGAATTCGCGATATTGAGTGTATAATTCATTGTCACGAGATAGTCTTTTTTCAATCGCATGAAACCGTCGTAACGCCACCTCGCGAGAACCTTGAAACATAGGATCAGAATCATCCTTGAACGGATATTTAACGATATATCTACCGGAAGTGTCACGCTCGTGCTCGGTGACAAACTTATTTTCGCATAACTGTTCTTCCGGTGTCAATGAAGTTGCTTTAGGTACGTTATCTAGTTCCCAAAACCGTTTCACTAACGAGTTTAACTCGTGATCGATACCGAATGATAACGTATGTGTGAGTAATGCCGTGCTAGTATTTAAAAACGTTTTACCAAGGAGAAGCCAACCGAAAATCGAATTAAAAGCCGTAGGTTGATTTTGACTTCCCTTGATTTGCTGTCCTAACAGCGATTCGGCAAAAACATCAGCAGCAAACAATATATCAATCGGTCCGGGAATATCGAAACTAGGATCCGCTAAAGTAATCGATTTAATGTGCGACCATCGAGATGTATTTAATTGAGCTATAGGTTGATCGCTACATATTTTAGAAATTACATGCATGTTCAATGTGTAAACAATTTTATTGTTTGTGCCTACGCAACAAGTGACGTCACCGTTAATAGGTGCACAAGCATCTCCGAGTCCGCTAACACTAACTGAAGTTTGAGTAGGTACCAATTGCAAACGCTTAACAGCCGATTCCGTTATAAAGTTACTTTGGCTTCCCGTGTCAAAAAGTGCACGAAAAGATTGCAAGTCGCCGTGAGCGTCCTTCACCTGCACAATAGCGGTGGCTAGTAGAACAGTAGGCTTCGACTGCGATCTTGTGAATAAAGATGATGACACACTGGGCGCATCGGACTTATCGCGGTGAAGCAAAGTATGATGTTTACGCTTACAAAATCGACAAGTAAAGAAAGAATTACAATTCTTGATTTGATGAGATGACTTTAAGCAATTATAGCACCATTTCTTTTCTTCAGCTATTTTCATACGTTCATCGATAGATTTTTTACGAAACTCAGAACACGATGAGATTGAATGTGTATCATTGCAATATGAACACTTCTGAATGGGTTTTACGTTATCACTCGAAGTTGCAGGCCGGTTATCGTTCGCAGCCACTAAGGTGTGCGACACACTAGGGCGTTTTATTGAATTTTGAATAGGCTTCGATTTCGATGGCTCTAAAAAATGTGTATCACGTATTAAAGCTTCACATTTAGATTGCAAGAATAGTTTCAACTGGTCATACGTTGGAAACTCGATATCACAATACTTTTCTTCAAAGCTACGACGCATGGTTGTATCTAATTTTGATAATAAATGATAGACCAAAACAAAGTTCCAATTTTGAACCGGTAAGTTAATAGTTTTCAAAATACTTAAGTTTTCGTCCATTATATCAAGCGATTTACGAAATTCCCTTGCATCTTTAGATTTAAACTCAATATTAAGGATTTCGCGCCAACAAGTAAAAGCAAGATCGCGTTTATTTTTATACCTGCCGCATAAGGCTTGGTACGCATCATTATAATGCTCGTGAGTTAATGGGAATGCTTTAACTATGGACAATGCGTCGCCGCTAAGAGATGATACCAAATAGTGAAACCTTTCCGTGTCGGTGAGTGAAGATGAATTATGAATTAAAGCATTAAATGTATCAAAGTACTCTGGCCATTGTTTGATGTTACCAGAAAAAGTAGGAAGCGTTATTTTTGGCAACCGAATATTGAACGATGACGAGACGCTTTTCGATTGCTGTAATTCAGCATCCTCGCTCCGAGTTAAGGTACGGTAAATAGATTCGATTTTGTAATAAGTGTCATCAAATTGCTCCTGTATACAAGAATCCAGGTCGTCCGTATCATCTAAAAGTTCCAATATGTTGAAGTGTGCGTATTCAAATGTTTCTGCTATTTGTTTAATATCTTGGTGATAAGAAAAGAACAAATCGCGCTGAGAAGGGTCGCTTGTCGCTAATTGACCAACTTCCAAAGCTTTGTTCAATCGTTTAATAGAAATTGTTCGCTTTCGACGCAAAGACGGTAAATCTTGCATAGAATATTCATGTTCGATTGATTTAGATTTAGATTTTCTTAACGTTTTTCGCGTCGAACGTTTGCTTAAAAGTGACATTTTAGTTTATAAATACTAAATGTAAAAGTGTAAAACGAAATATGAAATTAATAAAAAATATTAATTTTACTCAGTGTGTTACCACCCTAACGCTTGACTAGACAAAAACGTGCGGCCGCTGTGGAATGCAGCTGCGAGTTGAATTGATGATGCACACACGCACACAGGTTACGCACAATAATGATAACAAGTGGCCGATATTTAAATGATACGTTACGCTAAACGTTACAGGTACGATTACAAGATACAAAATGAAGACTGTAAATATTACAAGTTAGCGTATTCAAAATACGAAGTATAAAAATTGTTTACGTTAATTTTAACTGAACTACGATAAATTATTTTACTTTTAAAATGTTGTTCGTAGTTGCTTGGCGCTGGATCGGTGCGATAAGTACGAGAGATCACCGATGGGCGCGGAACAATGCAACTACCCGAAAGTAAAAATAAAAATGTAGGAATGTAGTTTCGATATTTAAACGATATTACAATATGTTTTAGATATTGTACGATAAATAAAACGATTACAACAAATGTACTAGATGAATGTGGATGAATGTAGTGTCTATAAATAGAATTAATGTAAGCCGATGAATAAATTAAGCACCGATTAATGATGAAAGATTGCTTAATTTGATCCTACAATAATTCAAGACAATACTTAACGATGTTTAACGATAGGAATTCGGATAAATACGATATTACTGATGTGACCCGTAAGCACTGATACCGCACGATGTTGGATTAAGTAAATACTGATTAAATAGATTAACTCTGCAACCAATAACCGATGAATGAAATGAATAGATTTTACTAATTGCCGAGTATTTTAACCAGAAATACCACGATATTTGGAACGCGATACAGTACAATTTACAGGTGCTAGGTGGAAACTGTCCCGGGTTTCGGCACCAAAAAGGATGTAGCAAACGCACCACGATTAGAAGGCGATTGGTGGCTTCCTGCTACACCTGGATCAAACCGTAGAAGGCTTGCCGGTAAAAAGGGATCGATGTTCTGTACGAGCAGTACGCAATGACAAAATACTATGCACTCACGTACCTTGAGCAGATCGATGACAGTTCCACCTCGAGTATGGGCAGCAGCAGTTGGGAATTCCTTCGGTTTCTAGCACATTTGGGCGTGTAGATGATGAGGTAAGTTGAGATCACATGGGAGGGTGACTAGCACACGCGTCGACGGGCCCGTTAGAATACGAATAGAAGATGGCGATGTGACCGGTGCGGCCTCCAAAGCGTGACTGCCCTCAAGTTGTCAATAAAAATCCAACTCGAAGGACGGAGCGCATAAGCAGCCTAGTTTGACTGCGTTTTGTCACTACATCGATACTTATGCAGAGACATCGATACCCGCGATTATTATGAAAATTTAAACGAAAAGTTACGATGACGGAACAATTGTGTTATGCCATCTATGGCTTTATTTCGACGTGTTAATGGTTCTAAATCTAAAAGCTCTGAAATTTGCAGAGCCGTACCTTTCGAAACACGATATCTGACGCGGAAATTTTCACCATCGTGTTCATCAATAAAGTTTATTCTGTCTGGTATTCTACGTCCATAGTCAGGGAACTTCGCCCTTCTGCCAAGTTCTTTCATAATTAGCATGTACTGATAATATGTCTCGTCAGCACGTTTTTTTCGCGCGTTGATCTCGTGCATTTGCTTTACGTTCATCGCTTCTGGGAATAATTTTAACTGGACAACAAAGGACTATTGTAAAAATTGTCCATCACCAGAGTGTGCCCACGATTCAGTATGGCCTGACAAGATCGAAAACAATCTTGCTGGTGGCACCTTCTGGCTCTGGTTCATTACCCTCACGACATCTTTTTTTTTTCAATATTGTTTTAATTAAACTCTGTATTTTTTCGTCTATCTTTCCAGACTTTTACCTCCTCACTAATAAAAAGTTACACAGTTGTTGAACACTGTTTTAAAATGATATTTCCATACTAAACGTCACTTTCAAACACTGTTCAACGAGCGTGTAAGTTTTATTAGTAAGGGGGTTAAAATATAATCTTTTGATACCTTTTTTTTAATCAAAATTTGGAGTCTGTTCATTAGCCGTTTCAGCTTTAGTTTTGTCGTCATTGTCACTGATCTTGCTCGCCATAAGACATGACCCCATCTTTGGATCATTCTTGTTCATTTGAACTCGGTATATTGTCCACACTATTGTGAAACTATTCTCCTCATTACTCTGTGGAGCCCTTGGTTCTTTTAGATGGCCTCCATAAAATACGTCACACGAATTTAATGATTTTTTGTCCCCCTTGTCACAGGTGGTCACATTTCTGAGACTCCCCCCCTCTCCCTAGTCACTAGGGAAATTGCAAAACACTAGGCCCTAGTGTGACGTCACATGTTTTGCAATTTCACATCGAAAAATTATTAAATTAAGACAGCAGTTTCGTCATTTGTACTATCTGCAGCTCTTCGATTCTACTTCACCTTCGATAATGTTACTACTTTTCAAAATTTTCCATAAGGTATTAACTTCTTCCTGTATAAGCTGTTTTTTTTTTATCAGCGTAAGTTGCACTGTAAGTTTCGTATAATCTACGGTAAAGATTACCTAAATCTATCTTTTTGTTCATTTTGAACTTGATTTATTAAAATATGTTTATATCCACAAAATAGCACTACTAAAAAACGACGTCGTTCACTCAGCGATAGTCAATTGTCGAATGAAATAGAAACAATATAATCACGCGAGGTACGGTGCATTTGGCGGCATTAGTCAATGGGCTCGTAGGCGATCGGCGCGTGTCACTTGAGCGCACATGAACTAGTCAACAAAACTATTTAATCCGTATTGTCCTAAAGATAGTTGGAAATATTTTTAGTTTAATTAATATTTCAAATTTACGCGATTAGTACCTCGTCTAGATATATAAGATTTTGAAATGTGATGTCACGAAACATAGGACCCCTCCCACCCCTTGTCACACCATGTCACTTTGGAATCTTAATTTGTATGATCGAACAATTTTCGGTATGTTTCTATACCCGCCGCTATTGATCCTTCTTCTTCATATTTTTCTTTATATTTTTATGCATTATTAATATTCAGTTCGGAATCTAAATATCTATATTCTGAATTCTTAGGGCAATAGTAGTACAGTCAGTACAGATAGTAGTACAGTCTTGTAAGGTCGTTAAAATAAATAATAACATAAAGTTCTTAATAAAAGATTTAATATTCTTATTAAAATAAAACACATTAAAAATAAAATGACTTATAAACAGAACTGGTGAAGCTCCATGACAAGTCAACCTCTGAATTAGCACTTAAGAGCGCCCACTGCGCACTGACTCTGGTGTAGACGGAGGAGCGCATCACAAACCCGCTCGGCTGGTGAAATGCGACTTCCACAGTCCGCAGTCTAGGTGCCCACGTCTCTCCCAGCATTGGCTTCCACTGGTGGTGCTTTTAGACAACTGAAATAATAAATGAAATATCCCTTTATTTTATTTATTTAGCACAAAAAAATTGTATTTATTTATTTACAAAACAACAGTTATTAAAATTACAAAAACCATATTAGTTTTCACTAATATTTTCATTTTACTATAGTCCGGTCGCCGAGCATGTAGAATTTCGTTCAATGACCCCAAGCAAACGACTGCGCGACGGGCGGCCGCAGTGAGTGTGCGAGCGCGACAGCAATATAATAATTACGCGCGAGCGATAAGGATGAGTAGCTTGGGGTCCTTGGACGAAATTCTACGTGCTCGGCGACCGGGCTTTAAAAATATGTTTTAATACAATAATTGTGTACAAAATATTTGATCGAGTGTTTTCTTATATGAGACTATTACATTTCTAAAAAGAGACTTTTTAAAGGGACAATATTATTTGATCCTCTAAAAACTAATTGATATTTTTTGTATGTGCACTTTTAAAAATAAATGATGTATTTTATTATATTTTATCTTTATATTAATTATTGGGTCTATATTAGTTGATCTACGGATAAATTATGAATGATCTTCATTTAAGGTAACATAATATTTATGTTTATATTATATCATACTCTTTTAATATTTGGTAAACAAAAATAATATTTGATCCTCTTTTTTAGTTATTGATCTTTAATTTTGTTAATTTGATGATTTTTATATCAAGTTTGCCTTTTAATATTGATCACCTAATAAATACATTTCGATCTATGTATAACTTAACTTTAAAATATATTTGATCTAACTAAAAATATTATTGGTTAATATTTTTAATTAAAAAATATCTTTTAATTTACGCGGTACTTTGTGGTTGAGTGACAATCGTCCGTCATTGGTACTGAGTTGGCCAAGGGCTTAGCGGCCAATAAGCAAGCAGAAAAAAAAAAGAATGGTACATTGCCATGTTTATTTAAATTACAAGCTTTGCTTAGTTTGGGACTAGAGGCGCTAAGTATGTAAAATAATTTCTTACTTCAGTCATCCCTGAACCCGACATTATAATTTTTACCTCTTTATTTTTTTTCAAATCGCAAGATTGATTTTCTCTTAGTATACCGATCTCGACCGTGATCACTGACCATAAAGTCATCTGTCAACGGGTCGATTAGACACGATAAAAGCACTAAACGATATTTGTTTACTTTTAGTGCGACATCGGGTCGTAAGGACCTGATAAGTTTTTTTTTTCCAAATATTTACTGTGTTTGACGAAACAATTGCAAAACACTATGTATCTTTCGTACTACTGAAAAGACCGAATATATCCATCCCGCACCAACGCATCCAGCACCTAAGGTCAATTCGACCCGATAACGCAGTGTGAACGTGTTAAGTATGCTTTTTTAATAAAAAATAAATCTTTGAACATCAAGTGCCTTTAAATAGTTTCCATCCTTTGACTACAACTTAATAAAAATAAGTACCATAACATCATCATTTTGAAGATTATTTGATATAGACAAAAAATAATTTATACAAATCGAATTATTTAAAAAAGTATCACAATATTGAATATTTGGTGCTCATTTCTTTTATTTTTGAGGACCAACAAGTAACGATCAGATATAATTTTTACATCTCAATAATTTTTTGCGTAGTTCAAAAGAGATTAAAATATCGATCAATTTCATTTATTTTATGTCTCAAAGTAAGAGGATCAATCATTAAAATAGATGACCATTTAGATTTTTTTAATTGCCGTTTTTGCTAATTTAAAAAGATCATTTAAATACATGCCCTTTTTAAATGATATCATAAACTTACCGCAAACACGCTCCCATGGCTGTGTGATTGATGCACGACGCGACTCCACCTCGGAACTAGCGGGCGCTCTAAAGCGGCCACTGCGCACACTGGTGTAGGCGGTGGAGCGCGCCACAAACCCGCAGACTTCGCAGTCCTCAGTCTGGGTGCCGTCTCTCCCAGCATTGGCTGCCATTGGTGGTGCTTTTATACTACTGAAATATAAAATATAAATAAAATATCCCTTTTTTATCCAAAATTTAAAACGCAGTAAAGCCATTATTTACATTTTTACAATTTAGCCATGAATGTTTTCTTGTACAAATTTGCCCGAGGACCTTCTCAGAATAGTCCGCTTAAAAGGTTGCAGCTCATTAAAGAGTGCCCTCAGTATCGTGCTAGAGAAAGTAAATTTCCTTCACCAATATAATTCCCGGAATAGAATGCTTAAATCGCATTTCTTACAGCTAAGACCACAACCAATGGCCAACAATCCATTTACGCCCAATCCAAATACAATGGGATTAAAACAGTTTTTCAATCCGCAACCACAGTTTAAATTTGGACTACAACCAAATAACAACCAACAACAATTTAAATTCGTAATTACCCCCAGTAAACAAGTAAAATTACCACAACAGCAAAATCAACCACAATTCTGTTACAAACCACAACCACAAAATCAACCACAGTTCGGTTTTAAACCCCAACAAAATCAACAACAGTTCGGTTCGGTTCACATCAAGACGGTGCATATTTGACAACTGTCGAAATGGTGCATATTTGACAACTGTCGAAATGCACCAAGCCATTCTGTGTCGAAATTCATAAAGCTCCATACGTTAAAAAATCACAATTTCTATATTCCTTACCGTGCCAGAGTCTGTCATTTGCACTACACAAACAATGTATGGAAAGAGTTGATGCTACAGGGTAATCATCAAGATTTCAACAGTGACTTTATGCTAGACATAATAAACATTTACAAATGGGGTCTCGAAAGAAAACAAGATTTCGAAAACCTTGATAGTTTTGATGATGATGAATTCCATTTTTGGACATCTTTAACAAAAAATCAATTTAATGCCATTTTAGATCAAACGCCATCTCTAAGAGCGAGATCACATAATCCTGCAACATGTTTGGAAGTATATCTGTCAAAAATAAGAACTGGAGAACCTAATGAGCGATTAGCAACACATTTTTTAAAATGTCGAGAAGAACTTGGAAAAAGAAAATTCGTTAACTTAGCAAACAAATCAAGATTAATCACAATATGCCGATGGGTGGTAGAAGCTATTAACGGAAGATTTAAAAGAGATTTTAAAATCTTCAGACAACCTTATTTTAATATAACAATGAAGAATATGATGGTAGATTTTAGAATTTGTGCGGCTATAACAAATGCAAACCAAACTCCATTTGAAGATAATGAACGAGCCCAACAATATTAAACATAATAAATGAATATTGAAAATACTCTGGCAGATTATGTTACAAGTAATAACTTGAATAGACAAAGGGCGACATTTGTAAGAATGGAAGCAAATAATAACCTAGACCTGACGGATTTCCCCAGGGTAACCTACGAAGAACTATTATCAGTAACTTTAGGTATATACCATTTAAAGCTGGCCACTTCGAAAGGGTGTTAGAAGAAGCTACCAATAGCACTTCGAAAGGGTGTTAGAAGAAGCTACCAATGTGGCTCGGGACCTTAATGTAGAAACAGATTATCCGCCTATAGACACAGTTCGTCCACGAAGAAAACCAACTCAATTTCAATATGAACAGAGTGACGAAGTTTTACTTGACCCCAAAACCAAATACAAAGTAGAGGTTTTTTTAGAATCCTAGATCAAACGTTAACTTCTTTAAATATTCGAGGGGTTGGAAACTTTTACCGACGTATTTGGCTTTTTCACCAATAATAACTTATTTAGTTGCTCTAAAGATGATTTAAAGAAACATTGCAAAGATTTGAATTTGAAGCTAAAAGACAGTTCACAGATATTGACCAGTTACGAACGAGTTTCCCGTAGTAAGTACTCGAGAGAACATGGTAATTCGTCGCATGCTTTGGCGGCACAAAAACTCAAACTATGGCAGACAAATTTCAGCAACTGAACATGTGGATAGTGAGCTTTTAGATGGGATGGATGTAAAGCGAATTTCGGATTCCAGTCAGGTTGCTGGCGCCATCCGTACCTATTGCGATTAAATTTGTTGGGTTCAAACCCATTTCTTGGAGAAAATCAGTGAATGCAGTGTATAAAGCGGTTGCTGTGGTTTGGAAAAGCTCCTGAAACCCAAGGAAGTCTGTCATTATTGCTTTTTGTGCGTCGTTATAATATCTAATCATGTAGGCCATATATTTTTCCGATGAAACATCTGTCGACTCATCAAAAATAATGGAGTACGGGCGATCGCCAACCTCTTATTATTTGTGATTTTAAACAAGGCTCTATAATATTCTTTATTATGTTGGAACATTAATTGGTTCTATGCAGCTGCAAGTTTTCCAATGGACTGCCCTTTCCAATATTCTTTAGTATTTCACCCATATGATCAATGCTCCTCACAGAACCATGACAGGCTATATGGGCAGCAATTTGGATATCATAACTTTTTTCCGTTTTATTAGTAGTCGTATAATAGCCTGAAATGTAAATAATTAATTATGCTATTTAAATAATAAAAAATATATTGTAAAATGTATAATGTGATATTTAATGTGTGTACCAACCAAAAGTAGATAATATTGTCGTTGGTTTGTGTTTTTTTGTATTTACGGCATTTCCACGTTCTATGTGAGCATTTGATTTCATATGTTTCTCTAAATCTGTTTTATGTGCTCGCAAGGGATTTAAGCATAATTTACAATAGGCTTCTCCTTTTCCTTTCATAATAAGGTCTTCTGAAGTACGAGTAAGCCAATCTGTAATAATAAAAATAAATTAATATTATCAAAAAAAACTACTAAATTGGTAATTATTTTTTTGTGTTGGTATCACTAAAAGAATAGAATAGAATAGAATAGAATAGAATAATTGTTTNCCCCGCCGCCGGGACGCCCCCGCGGGAGCCCGACCCGGGTGAAGCGCCGTCTTTGCCCCCGCAAGCACCCACACACCCATACTTATTACGTCCTAGGAAACACGTAGATTATAAGAAATATCTTTAACAATTATGTTTAGTTTACTCTAAGTTTAACTAGTTTATATAATCGTAGTTAATTAACATTGGCTATGTTTTGTCACCAGGTTCCAAAGATTAAGTGTGGAGGAATGATGTGTATGCGCGTCTACGCGCATAATATATAGAACCTACCTACATTGTACTCGTAGTAACAAAAGTTGATGTCTGTGTCGCTGTCATCGTTTAGTAATAAACTCGAGTTCAAAGCGATCGGTGTGTTTCATTTATATCACATAGACCTCCCCAAATTATGCCAAAAAAAAGCGAGGAATGAGAGACGCAAAGCACCTATAGTTCCGGACGCTGCAACTCGCCCCAATGGAAACCCAACCAGTGGGGGCTAAGTTTGGCACGGAAGTATTTAATGAAACATCATTCTGATTCTTTAGGTTTCCAACAGTAGCTGGATAAAAAATTTGCACGTTCTACAATCACTATGCTTTTTCAGTTAGGTATGTATTTATTTATGTAATAATATCACATCGTTTATCTTTACCAAAAAAATGTGTATTTCGATGGTTTGTCACACATATTACAAGTTTTGCTTACCTTGGCCCTAGATGGCGCTAAATGAAAATGTCCGACTTTATAAATCCTTACCCAGCAGTATTGGCCCATCCAATCCTTAGATGCGGCATCATGTGCGTGGTCTTCTCGATGTGATCCATCGTGACTTCGAAGTACCACTTCTGGTACACTGCCGAGCCTTCCACGCGGCCCACGAAGATGTTTGGGCGGACGCTAGAAAAAAACTCGCTGTTAATTTATAGCGTCTGATGTATACTGAGGGTTAGGGGGCTTTTTCGATGTGTTCAATCAGATGACCGCTGTCCCACCTCTTAACACAGTGCCCTAGATTTGCTTCAGCCCAATATTACCAATATAACCATGAAATGACATCCCGCTTGCTAAATATCAACCCATATAATCTATCAGACATAATTAGAAAAGAAGATGCAGCAAAAAGCTTCAAAGCCTACATTACCCATATAGTCGATCACCTAAAAGAATTTAACCAAACTTAAGGAACTAACAAATTACAATCATCATAATTCACAAACTGAATCACTGCACTGCAATTGGAGTACTCCACTAGCTACCATTGCATGTGTATCTCAATAACACTCACTAACAAAAAATATTTTCGGATTTAGGGTATTTTCATAAAGCATGCATACAGGGTGGAATCGATGTGATCTAACTCGATTAATTTGTAAACTGTACATCGAGAAACTGATTGCTGATCCTGAGTGCTTCAAATGCTCTATCAAATGTGACAGATGTTGTTCTGTGATGACCTCACTCACACCTCCGCTACTTATAAAAATGAATCTCGAACTTTATCTCAATAACACAAAGTTTAAAATACCTTGACACGTTTTCCACCAGCTGTTTGAAGAAGCAGATTTTTTAATCACAGTTACTATTCTGTAAGGACTTGACAGGTACTCCGTTACCAACGCAAAGTGAACAGATTATTCTGAACTCTATCTCAATAGAATAAGGTCCAAATTACCTCGACACGTGGTCCACCAGCTGTGTTTGGAGAAGCAGATTCTTTCCAGGCAGCAGGTAGTCACAAATGTTGTTCTGTGAAGACCTGACAGCTACTCCGTTACCAACGCAAAGTGAACAGAGGACGTCCAAGACTTTTGGGTCACGACCGTGTTTTTCCAGGAGAGAAATGATCACTTTGATGTGTTCGTCCTGTTGGGAAACAAAATGGTGTCAAAAATGTGTAGATCAATACAAAAATAATAATTAATAGCAGTGTGGTTGGTGGCAACCGCGCTTGTTCTAAGAACGCCGGGTTAGGTATCACAAATTCACCATTATACTTAAATCCGTCACTATAAAAACTACGTTAAATAGCATTGTTACGTTTTGGAGGTAAGATGGTCAGCTGCCTTTGACAAGATATAAACAGTAAAAACTTCGAAATCGCTTCATGGAGGGAAGTACTCGTAGCTACCATAAATACGTCGGAGTGAAGCGATATCGGAATTATAGCTGTCACTTTTTGTAACTTATGAATACCAGTTGAAGCTCGCTTCCATCTTTGGTCTGGTCATTATTTTCCGACAGGCTTTTTAAAGCCTCATCATCATCATCATCATTTCAGCCATAGGACGTCCACTGCTGAACATAAGCCTCCCCCAATGCTTTCCACGTTGATCGATTGGTAGCGGCCTGCGTCTAGCGCTTCCCTGCTACCTTTACGATCTCGTCGGTCTACCTTGTAGGTGGACGTCCCACGCTGCGTTTTCCGGTACGCGGCCTCCATTCCAGAACCTCGCTGTCCCATCGGCCGTCAGTTCTGCGTACTATGTGCCCTGGCCCACTGCCACTTCAGCTTGCTAATCCGTTTAACGTGCGTTTTAAAGCCTATTTGTTGCATTAAATGAATGAATTTTATAACTCACCCGCATCATGTTCAGAGCCTCAGGAGAGTCTATGAGCACGCAATGCAGTACATCCAGCATTCCCGTGCCTTCGCCAGAAGCCTGGGAGCCGAGTCGGGAGAACAGCCAGTTCAATCGGTTGGAGTTGGCGAATTGGGCGCAGTTTGTGTGGTTGCCTTTGATTATGGCGGCTAGAAAAGAAATGTGGTTATTGCCAGTGTCTGCTAAAGTTATATTTATGCTTAAAATGCGTCCAAATAGTGATGCAAAATCATATCTCATCTCTTTTCCATGAGTTTCAGTTAAAGATGTGGCACTTTACTGTGACTTCTTTATGAGAATTTGAAGGCTTGTTATACGAGTTTACACATACATTTGCCTACTACTTATGCATGCACGTTACATAATGGTTAATAATTCACCACCATTACACATGAATTTCAGATTAAACATATGTTAAACCTAACACGAAAATAAAAGAAAATTGCTAAAAATGACGCTACACTTTTCCACCGATTCATTTGACAAAAGTGGCTATGGGAAGAACATTTTTGTTAAATCATCCTTTTGCTTGCTCTAATTTTGTATGAAATACTACGAAGAAGTCGATTAACATTATTTTTAAACTATCAATCATCATCATCATCTCAGCCCATTGAGTTATAATGTACTACGTAGTAATATTACTTCAATGTCTCAGCCACAGGACGTCCACTGCTGAACATAGGCCTCCCCCAATGCTTTCCATGTTGCCCGGTTGGTAGCGGCCTGCGTCCAGCGCCTTCCTGCTACTGTTATGACGACATCTTGAGGGTGGACTATCAATGGTATGGTATTATTAAATACATAGTTATTACAATATCCAGCAATAAATATTGCACATCGACCTTTAGAAAGAGACAATCGGCTAATTTCGGTTTCGTAGAGCGTTATCACTGTCGCACTTGAACAATGACTGACAATGACGTTTTGTCAAAGTGTAAACAAACTTTATTATAAATGTGTGTAATTGATTTTGTGAATTTAATGATTAATTGATAGTCGTGAAAGAAAAGTGGTTTACAATGTGTTAAAGTATTTGTCGAAGAGAAATACTAAGAGTTCGGACAATATTTTCATTGAATAATGTTTTGTCAATCGTATAGGTAGTGTGCGACAGAGATAACGCTCTACGAGCCGACATTAACCGATTCTCTTTCCAAAGGTCGATGTGCAATATTTATTGCCGGGTACTGTACTAACCTAGCAGCTGATACAAGTATCCCGATATCATGTCCCAGCTCTGCCCCGATTCGTCGCCCGCCAAGAAGCCGGCTAAGAACCCTTGGGAGGTAATAACGTTGATCTTGTCGATCGCTTCTAAGATCAGGTTGAGGATGCCTTCCTCTTGGAACAGGTCTTGACGGTTGCGGAGAGCACGGAACTTGTTCTGTTTCTCTTCGTGTTCTGGAAGAAAAAGATAATTTCAGGGGTGTTTGGGTGAAAAATAATGATGGTAGGGATATTACTTCAATATTTATGTAAACACACTATCGTATCAAGCTAAACACTGCGGCATCGTCTTTAATTGTAATAGCAACTAAAATGTAGTCTGGGATATTCGACTGTTGTAATAATAGAGCAGATACATTGAATAAACTCGCAACTTCACTAGATCGCGGACAGAAAAGGATGTTAATAATTTATGAAATTGAGTTAAAAACATTCAAGCTACCATTTAACAAAGAAAAGATTATTTTTATTTAAACTGGTTGAAAGGGGTATTAAATAATTAATTCCAGTTCCATGTCATTACAAACAGATTAAATCGATTAGGAACTCTAATTACAAACGAATTTCTGCAATAGTTGGTTCGAGTTAAGGGTGCTTGGACTCTTGGAGTATTGTAAAGTGTCGTGTAATTTTTTTTGGGTATTAATATGAAAACGACTTAAGCTCTGAGGAGGCCACATGATTTTGAAATATTGTGCATACCCATATCCTCGTCAGGCTGTGCGAAGTAGTTGATCAGATCCTCGAGACACATGACCATCTCTCCGAGGTTGACTGACGCAAAGAACATCGAATGCCGGCGGTTCTCTTGCAGTGTTTCTAGGCCACTGTTGGGAAGTAAAGAAAATATGATTAGATTATTTATTAGAATTATTCTTGATATAATTTATAGAAAGGATAAATTAACACCACCATTTGGGTACTTTACTCTACAGTAATTTGACATAATTTTTATGAGCAATGAAAATACACCAATCCCATAATTTGTAAGTCAATCAACTATTTATCCTACAAACCTATTAAAAATTGAATCATAATATAGCAAATTGAAAACTAACCCAATTTTCAGGGCTAGAAAGTGTTTTGTTGGTTTTTAAAGCGATTAATGACAGTTGTAAACCAAATTATAGTCTTTTTCACCTAAGATGATCCGTATGACGTTTCGAGTTTGAAAGATTTAAAGATGTCACATAACTAAACCATAGCGATTTATCTATCGATTTTTTTCGAAGAGTTAGTAAAACCTACTTTTAGAGAAATATTTTGTATAGGTGTTATTTAACAAAAAACATGTTTTTTTTAATTACAAATATTATTGTAACAATTTTTTATTGATAATATTCAAATTTCATGGTTCGTGTTCAAAAAAACGATTCCTAAAAAATACTGGTTCTGTTTCTTTAAATTAAAAACTATTAATTTATTTTCAATGCGTTTATTAAAGTCAATAATCGAAAAATATAGTTGATTTTTGTGATGTTTTTAATAACTAAGTATACACTGCAATCGATTAATGAACCGCGGAAATAATCGATTTTATCATACAAGAAATACCCCAGCACTAAATCTATTCCGTTTCACACATTGCGTACATTAAATAAAAAATATTTTTACATCGTATTTAATTAAAATATAATCAATAGACTCAGATTTTACTATATATTTCAACACAAGTAGTTAATTTATTTTTATTATATTGCTAATAAAATACAAATATTTTTTCAAAAATATTCTGCATATGTAGTATGCGTAAAATGGATAACCTTGAAGTGTCATACGGATCATCTTACGTGAAAAAGACTATAACTGATTGGGTAAACAAGATGAAATGAGAGAAGTTGTGACTTGGAATTGTTGGTTAATGGTGTCAACCACTCAAATGATTTGGATTTATTTCGAGAACTTAACTGGAAAATGACATTATCTTCTCAAGGTTTTAAAAACCATATAAAAATTCGGATCCATTAACACGTAATTTACTAAAGAGGGGATAGTTTAGAAAGAAAGAAAGAAAAAATATTTGGTTTAGTAAGTTAATGACCGTTTTCACCATCAATCCCTAATTTTTAAGTGACCCCTATGGTAACACGTAACAGGAATTTGGTTTTCAAAGGGGCCACTTAAAAATTAGGGATTGATGGTGAAATCGGGCATATTAAGTCTACTATAACATTAATATAGCTTACTTGATGAACTTAGTGAACAACGAGGAACACTTCCTAATGACTCTGGCTGTCCTGGATTCTTCCTCCTGGGACCTGGAGAAGTCCAGCCCGTCGTCCATCTTGCCTTCCTCGTGTAGGATCGCTTGTTTCTCTTCCACTTTGCCAACGCCTTTCTTCTTCGTCTCGTAGGACTGAGGAAAAGTATTATTAAAGTTAAGATCAGTGATTTACAATATTTTCACGAAGCGAATTTAGCCTCGAATTAACTTACACTGCTTCAGAAATTATACAATACACTTTATTATAGATCGTTTCACCCACGAAGACGCGCCCCACCAATTTTTGGTCGAGGGACGCGCGGCGCGAGTTTGATCCGAGCAATCCGAGCGTCATCATTGTAGTGTGCGTGTGTACTCATGGATGATTTAGCGTGTACCGATAATAATCAAACATTAGCGGAAGAATAGTGGGGCGCGTCTTCGTGGATGAAACGATCTATACTCCAGACAAGGGCTGACTCTTTAAGAATAAGAAATGAGCTAATATTCCCTGAGACAAACTTGGCCTGTTCGTTGCAGCCAATTGTCCTTCAGTACTGGACAAAGGCCTCCCTCAAGGATTTCCAGTGGTGCAGTGGTGTGAGCGAATGGGAATAAGACAAATATACAAACATGAGGCCTCAAAAACAATCTGGATAGTGGATAGTGCGTGGATAGTGTAGGCCAAATCCTCCATTTGTCTCTAGTAAATTAGAGATCGTGCTCCTGCAATGGAGACTACAGTGTGTATAGTGTGAGTTTACATTTAACGACGTCGCTAGCACTGGCAAGTAAGACATACTTATGTCTTTAGAAGATGTTAGTCCTTGAAAGTATCCGCTGGGGGCGCTGTACAATCCGTCATACGTTTAATGTCATTTTTTACGCAGACGTCAGCGATGACGTTTGATGTAAACTCGCACTAAGCCCCCTGGTCTAGCACATAAGTAAGTCAGTTCCAAGCCTGAGGTTTGGGAGAGGCACGGGAGGAGTTAACAGAATACACAAGTCTTACGCCCGTATTCACAAACATTACTATGAGGTCTCACAGTGCGCGTGGACGCACAGGGTGACACACGAACCAATCACAGGGCTCTATTCAACGCTGAGCGTTCGGATTGCTGCTTCACTTATGCAAGCATCGTTTGTGAATACGGGCGTTAAACACTTCTGAAGTCTCACTGACATTTGACGTCAGAAAAAACCCTCCCATGCCACTCCTATACCCCAGTCTGCGACTCAGTTATGTGCTAAAGCCCGGTCTGTGAGCACGTAGAATTTTGTCCAATGACCCCAAGCTACCCATCCTTATCCTTATGTTGCTGTTGCGCTCGCACACTCACTGCGGGCGCCCGTCGCAGTCGCGACAGCAATATAATTACGCACGAGCGATAAGGATGGGTAGCCAGGGGTCATTGGACGAAATTCTACGTGCTCACAGACCAGACTATAGACTGGTAAATGACCTGATAAGCTTACCTTATATGACAGCCACAGTCCAGTTTCCGAGTGCTGCACGATGACGGTGGAGTCACCATACTTGATGATGGGCGCTCCGATCACCTCCAAGTCTTTGTCTTCTAACACCACTTTCTGATCATCTTTTTCTTGCCGGAGACAGAAGGCACAAGAGGCTGTGGTTGCCTCTTCCCTGAGTTGTAAATAATGTCATTAAAATTATTATTTAACTGACAAGATTAAACAGTAAATAAGTAAAGTGGGCCTAAGGCTGGGTTGCACCATCTGACTTTATTTTTAACAATGGTCAAATATCTGTCAAAATCCGTGAAAAAACACTGTTTGTGGTTATAGTTACGGTTAAAGTAAGGTGGTGCAACGCAGCCTAAAAATACAAAACATCTTTTTAATGTAACCTTAGGAGAGTTATTAAATTTTTTTAGCGATTAGAGTCAAGCAAGGCCAATTTATTAGGCAAGCGAAAAGGTTGTGGGTTCGATTCCCGCCTTAGGCAGTTCGATTTTTCCAAGTTGTTTATTTAAAATATTTAAAACTTTAGGATAGTACTAAATAAAAACGTCATTAACGAGGCATATCACACTTGATAGTTGACACCACCAGACAAACATAATTATTTTCTATGAGCTTTCAAGAATTTCTCCTATAGATTTTTGATGGCAAAGACTATAAGATATCGTCAATTCGTCATACACACCTGCTAACCAAATACAGTTCATTCTGGTCGTTGACGCCCAAGTATCTACCAGTAGTGATGTGCCGGATTCGCATCGGGTGGTACCAGTTGATGAAGCCGCCGGCCCACTTGGTGCGCGCCAACTCCAGCCGCCAGAGGGAACGGGCTTGCGACATGACGGAACCGCCTTCGTAGACTACGATGCTGTGGAAGAAATTGTTATTATTATAAAAAAGGGGTTTACCGAAATTACTGTTGGAGAAGGTAGAGAGAACTGCTTTATCAGTCCGTTTCGCAACTAACAACCAAATCTAACGTAGAAAAAAATGGAAGTCTAAGGACGCTTTCAAATCAGAGGTGGAATTGTGTAAAGCAATCGTAATCATTTGACAGTTCATAACGTACGATAAAGTCAGTCAAACAAAGCGTTTGACAGATAATCGTACGTTATGAACTGTCAAATGATAACGATTGCTTTACACAATTCCACCTCAGATAGAGAAGTGGAAAGTGTTGGTGTACAACACTAGTGTTGGAGTGCTGGCGCCACTGTAGCGCTACTAGTTTTCGTCAGAGGGAGCGAGCTTGCGACATGACTGAGCCGTAGACTACGATGCTGTGGAAAATTGGTTATTAAATGTCATTAATTTCTTTACATAGTATAAAACAAAGTTGCTCCCGCTGTCTGTGCGCTTAGATCTTTTTAACTACGAAACTGACTTTAAAGCAGTTTTCAGAAATAGAATGATGTAAGGTCAGGAGTCCAGAGGAAGATTTTTTTTTTGTTTAAACACACCTTCCGTGCGAAGCCGGGGCGGGTCGCCAGTACTAATGATAGGAAAACGTCGGGTCAGCGTGAGGAATGTAGTCCAAATCCTCGCTTAGCCTTTGACAAATTAGAGAGGATTGTGTTCCTGAGATTACATGAGAGAGAATTTTGAACCTAACACGCTTTGTTAAAAGAACAATTTTCGCAAATATCATCAACTCACTTCTGTCCAGTTTCCTTAGCCCAGGCGCTGGGTATGGTCAGACACTCGTCGCCTCCGTGGAAGAACCGTAGCACGTCGCCTCCGAACACGTAGCCCACGTACTTCATACGGGATATCCCTGTCCCGTAAGGTTGCACCGACCAGTGTGTCACGTGGAATGACGCGTTGACTATCGACACTTCGTTCTCTTTTGTTGTGTGCTGGAAAAAGATGTTTAATGGTGAGTATAAACTAGAGCATTTTCTCGAGCATTTCTATGTAATTTAACGTTCTTACAAATGGTAAACAAGTAAAAGCTCAGTTTTCAAAGCTGTGTATACTAGAAGATATCATAGACCGGCTCGTTGTACCGTTACAAGTATGTGGATGTGGGATGTCTATACTCACTTTGACAAGAATTGACTTTTTTTTAAGTAATCCAGTTAACTCTTCGTGATAAATCTTCTTCTTCTCTTTTAGATTCTAGCTTTCTAATAACGATGCATGTAAATTGATATGATGTAGGTAAATCTTTATATAAATAAATAAATAAATAAATAAATAAAGAGGGTTCACCGCATGTCATGGCAGGGTTCGAACCCGCGTTCTTTGGATCTCGATTCGTAAGAATTAGTATCAAAATGCTGATTCAATTTTGACTATTTAAGGTGAACCACTATTACAATTAAAGCGTATTTTAGCTGGGGTATTGTTATTATGTGACTTACCAAATATCTCTCAGTTGCGACCGACACCAGAATCAAGTCGTCTCCGACTCGCACCTTCTCACCCTCAGATCTATGGGATTAGAAAGAATAAATACAATTTAAAAAGTATGTGGATAAAATTATCTAATTGCACACTGACTTCTATACTCAAAAATACTCATATTGGGTCAAATTCGGGACAACTCCTGCTTCCTCATCATCATCATCATTTCAGCTATAGGGAGTCCACTGCTATACACAGGCCTTCCCCAATGATTTCCATATTGACCGGTTGGTAGCGGCCTGCATCCAGCGCCTTCCTGCTACCTTTATGTTCCCACACTACGACCCACACTGTGTTTTCCAGTACATGTCTTCTACTCTATAACCTTGCTGCCCCGTCGGTAGTAAGTTCTACGTACCATGTAGATAGTCGTCAGCTAGATTATACTTTATATTATATAATTATTTTTTATTTACCTTTGCTTGCTAGCAGGATGCAGGGTCCACCAGCAGGCTTCGCCCTGCGAGTGTTCTTGCAGACCCACGTCGAAAGCCAGCTTGTCCTGGGATGATGACGTGGACAGACAAGCCAGGTACTGGAAGAGAGAGAATATGTCAATGACAAAAGAAAATATTCAGTCCCCACCACGTTGTGAGGTTAACGTGGCATCATTTAGCTCTCTAATTGTAGAGATTTCGATTTGTTATTTAGTTTCAACCAATGGACGTCCACTGCTGGACAGAGGCCTTTTGCTGACCCCATTTGGATCGACTTTTAGCATATCAACGGTTCTACAAATGGGAGGCCTGCCTACACTTCATCTACCGATCCGTGGTCTCAAGAACTTTTTCTCGTAACGGCTATCAGTTTTACGAGCTTTTACCACTAAGAGGGAATAAGCCAGTCTTAAAATGGCTGAAAGAGATTTTTCAGACTTCCTACCAGTTTTAGATGCAATCATCTTGTGATATTCGTTCAGCACACAGAATTAACGCAAAATTGTATGTCCTAAACTTAAAGAGGTGATTTAAGTTTCATTATTGCGATTAAAAGTAGCTTAGCCTTATTCACGGTTTAATCTATCTCAAACCATACACAATAACAGTATGGATCTCAGATCATAGGGATGTACACATGAGATAAGAGAGCAGTGTCGAATACGGGACAGCCAAAGCGACAAAGTCCCTCGAGAACAGCACGTGTATTGAAGCAATTTACATATGTGCATGTTTCTAGGCATTCAGCAATACCTAACGCTCGTTTTGCATGTGATCACTGCAATGCCAGTGCACGATTTGAATTTGCATTTAGTACGTACAGTCAGCGTCAAATAGTTTATGACACCCAAAACACAGTTCCAAAGTATCTGTACCGTCCCACCCGTGACACTGACAGGGGGAGACCACCTGCTTCAGACGCACAGGTCCCGGGTTAGATACAAAGTGGGGGCAGATTTTTCTGCTTCCACCTTCGGCCTGATCATCACTTACTATCAGGTGAGATACAGGCCAAGAGCTTCCTCGTTGTGGATAAAAAAAGGGACAAATATGCGAACTTCAGACCTCCCCAACCCGCCTGGCCAGTATGGAAAGTATATAAGTTTAGACCAAATAGTCCATTAATTTTTGGCAAATAGGAGAGGTTTTTGCTCCTGCAATGGAGATTAAATGACATGATAATAATGCCTGAGACCTGATGTTCGCATATTTTGCATCGTTCGATCGTTAATTTCATCCAAATGACGTCCACTGCAGAACAAAGGCGTCCCCCAAGGATTTCCACAACGGCCGGTCCTACGCTATATCAGTAGGTTATATAAAACAAAATAAATTACCATGTCACTGTTGAGATGTCGCAGCAGTATAGCATTGCCATACAGTAGCGTCCTGTGTCCCGACCCTGTACCTTTGNTTTTTGCAAATATCTTCAACTTACTTCTGTCCAGTTTCCTTAGCCCAGGCGCTGGGTATGGTCAGACACTCGTCGCCTCCGTGGAAGAACCGTAGCACGTCGCCTCCGAACACGTAGCCCACGTACTTCATGCGGGATATCCCGGTCCCGTACGGTTGCACCGACCAGTGTGTCACGTGGAATGACGCGTTGACTATTGACACTTCGTTCTCTTTTGTCGTGTGCTGGAAAAGACATAAAACGATCATAGGATGTTCAAAATTTTCTGTTTTTGTTGGACCTCAAAACGAGGGAATAAGGTTTATATAAGGTGGCAACAATGTTACTAAAAAAAACTATGTTACCATTACCTGATAATATCGATAATTCACTGTTTGAACTTCGATTATAAAAGACACTGTGTTTTGTTGCAACTTTAATATTTCAAAAACAAATGAACAGGAAATTTTTGAACAAAAAATGAATAAATGCTAAATCGCCGTGAGAATTACGTACATAAAGTCGAGCATTCACAAAAAAGTTGATTAAAATGCTTTAAAAATTGAGCGTTTGCTTTTATTTTACCGCTCGTAAGAACGTTACATTACTTTGTAATGCTCAAGCAAATACTCTGCTGGACTTATAGGTAAACTACAGTAGTACAATATATTATTATGTATAAGGTGTTTTCCAACTTAAGACTTACCAAATATCTCTCAGTTGCGACCGACACCAGAATCAAGTCGTCTCCGACTCGCACCTTCTCACCCTCAGATCTATGGAATAAAAAAGAGATAGGTATAACATTGGCAATAAAGATGTGGCTGTAAGGACTTATTTCGAGACCATGCATTTTCAGCACATCTTGTGCAGAGTAAATACTTTCACAGTAGAAAAGGGCCTTGCATATAACTTTGCATTGTTAATGAAGAACTTAATTTATGGTACCTAGTCTTGAGTTAGAACTTTTATTTATAGGGCAATTTACCTACCATGATTGAAAATTTTATACTTTTATCCCCTTATTAATAAAAAACTAGGATAAACCTTGGATTAAAATGACATTTCCATACTAAATGACAATTTAAGCCAGAGTTGAACTAGGGTGTAACTTTTATTGATAAGGGGGTTAGTGCACTTTTTTCGAGTCCGTGGTTGTTTCATCAAAATCTTTTCTTTAAGTTATTACCTTTGCTTGCTAGCAGGATGCAGGGTCCACCAGCAGGCTTCGCCCTGCGAGTGTTCTTGCAGACCCACGTCGAAGGCCAGCTTGTCTTGTGATGATGACGTGGACAGACAAGCCAGGTACTGGAAGAGAGAGAATATGTCAATGACAAAAGAAAATATTCAGTCCCCACCACGTTGTGAGGTTAACGTGGCATCATTTAGCTCTCTAATTGTAGAGATTTCGATTTGTTCTTTAGTTTCAACCAATGGACGTCCACTGCTGGACAGAGGCCTTTTGCTGACCGCATTTGGATCGACTTTTGAGTATATCAACGGTTCTACAAATGGGAGGCCTGCCTACACTACATCTTCCGATCCGTGGTCTCAAGAACTTTTTTCTCCTAACGGCTATCAGTTTTACGAGCTTTTACCACTAAGAGGGAATAAGCCAGTCTTAAAATGGCTGAAAGAGATTTTTCAGACTTCCTACCAGTTTTAGATGCAATCATCTTGTGATATTCGTTCAGCACACATAATGATCTATACCTACAACATTGTATGGCCTAAACTTAAAGGGGTGATTTAAGTTTTATTTTGTGAAGCCTCAATGTAACCTTGTTGGTGATCAAATAAATAAATTATTGTGATTAAAAGTAGCTTAGACTTATTCACGGTTTAATCTATCTCAAACCATACACAATATCAGTATGGATATACACATGAGATGAGAGAGCAGTGTCGAATACGGGACAGCTAAAGCGACAAAGTCCCTCGAGAACTGCACGTGTATGGAAGCCATTTACATATTATGTGCATGTTTCTAGGCATTTAGCAATACCTAACGCCCGTTTTGCATGTGATCACTGCAATGCCAGTGCACGATTTGAATTTGCATTTATGTACAGTCAGCGTCAAATAGTTCATGACACCCAAAGTAGATGAAAAGTTCGCAACACGTCTTTGTGCCAATTGGAATAAGTTTGAACTAACTTTTTGGTAAAGTGACCAAAAAGTTAGTTCGAACTATTTGACGCTGACTGTACTCAAATAGCATGGGAATAATTTTGAAAATATTACTAAATTAACTTTCATTTTCAGATACTTTGTGTCATTTTGGCCGTGAGGTTCTGTCAGAGCAGAATAGAATGACACCCACTCTACCCGTGGATATTTTAAATGAGTAAGGGACAAATATGCGAACATAAGGCCTCCCAATTCTGGCTTGAGGCCTGATGTTCACGGGACTATTCCCACCTCTCGTTTCTACCGCTGCAACTCCTGTGTAGCCAGGATCTACAGCTTGACCGCTAATAAAAACCCAACCAGTGAAGGTCAAGTTTGTCCCAGGAGGCTTGATGTTCGCATTTAATGCATCATTCGTTAATTTCAGTCAAATGACGTCCACTGCAGAACAAAGGCGTCCCCCAAGGATTTCAACAACGACCGGTCATACATATATTTCAGTATGTTAAATAAAACAAAATAAATTACCATGTCACTGTTGAGATGTCGCAGCAGTATAGCATTGCCGTACAGTAGCGTCCTGTGTCCCGACCCTGTACCTTTGCCCTGTAACAGATGAACAAACGAAGTTTAATGTGACGCCATTTTGAAATAACTGTCTTTAGAGGCTGCCGAATTAAAAATTTGTCTGCCATGCTTTTAGTTCTCTTGGATTAATTTTCATTGTCTGTATCTATGTACCCATAGTACAAGCTTTGCTTCGTTTGGGACTAGATAGTGTTGTGTAAAATGCCCAAGGATATTAATTTATTTATTTAATTTTTTTTCCTTTTCATTCATTGAGTCTTTTTTTAAACAACTATCATCTGGGTAGGTTTTTACACATTTATATCACCAATTAATACGACTATTTTTAAAATTTAATTTAAAATTAATCTAACAGAACAGCTGATCTAAGTACGTCTGACAAAAAAAAGAGAGATAACTTTATAGCGATAAGATCGCCTAAAATGTACTGTCTCTTTTGTGTCCATTTTTTCGTTTCTTGTTTTGTGTGGTGTACAATAAAGAGTTAATGTAAGTATTCACTCTCATTTCTATTATAAATTATTTTCCAGCTATTTTCTTCTCCATTAATATAATCCACCATAGTTATTTCTTTTACTGGACCCAATTAAATTATGTTTTAACTGTAAGTTTCCTAATAAAAACAATCTGTCGTGATACTCATTCATTATCAACCGACTTCAAAAAAGGAGGAGGTTCTCAATTCGACCCGTTTTTTTTTTTTTTTCTATGTTTGTTACGCGATAACTCCGCCAATTATGAACCGATTTGAACAAATCTTTTTTCGGCGTATAGGTAATACCTCAAGGGTGGTCCCATTTAAATTTAATAATAGAAAAATCAACCCCCAAGGGTGGAAAATTGGGGATGAACTTTTTTATACGCAATATTTTTAATTTTTAGTTTTTTTTTTGTGTTCACGCATTTGAAGTCGGTTTTATTTTTAAAAAAAGTTAATTATTTTTATAAAAGTTTCACTCAAAATATAAAATTACAAAATACAGGGTAAGAGACCAAGAGAACTTAGTAAACTTTCTAAGAATAAAAATTCAATTAGCAATTTAATACCTAATGATTTGGAATAATACTTAGGCAGTAAGCAAATAAGGATTTTGTTCAAATATTTAAGTGCACATTTGTTTAATTGAAAAACTTACCTGAAATCAGAATTTTAATTCTACCTACATCGCTAACATTTTATTTACTCTTATAAGATTATAACAAGAAAAAATACAGTAAAAAGGTAAAAAGTTAGCATTGATATAGGTAATTAATGTATTTAATAATAAAAGGAATCATTCACATACAATTAATTTAAATTTTTAAATCGAAAGTAAGCTTGTAGAGCTGTTGAATAAATTTAAAGATTTTGTAAATACTAATTATGTAGGTATGTCAAACGAAATATTTCAAAATATATGAAGAAGAAATACAAAATTAATAAAATATTGACTTATTTTAAACTGTGTTTAATTTATTCAAAACGTAAAAATGTAACTAAGTGAAATGAATGTGTTAACAATAGACACGACAAATACTAGTGATGGTTAACAGTAAAATATAGCGTTAAGAAATTAATATTTTGCACAATACTTTTGTAATATTGGCACAAAATATTTTGCTGCTCCAATAAAAAATCATGCAATGAAAACATTCTGTATTTTTTGAATAAAAAAATGAGCCATCATTATTAGTGACGCACCAACGCATAGAAATAAAGAAAGGAATAGAGACAATTTTCGTTGTTAAAAAACCGATTTTAGAGTAAAACAATTTGGCCAATTCTCAATTTAGTGATGTGATTATGACATGCGGTTTACCGATTCCGAGTATACTTACTAAATTTTCTTTGCCCTGTAAAATTATGGACAGTTAAGAGGGGTCATTATTCACAAAAGGATAGAATATATTGTTAAACACAAAAGACGTGTGTTGACACAAAGATTTGCCTTTTAAAACTTTCTGAGACAATTTAGAAAGATGTGCCGATCATTTGCTTCAAAAATATTCAGTTTTCGTATCACAAAACATACATACACTGGAAAATAGACTTTAATTAAAGGAGGGTACACACTAGAAGCATTCGATTTGCGAGAGTTCTTTTCCGTACCTAATAATTTAGTAAGTTGCAGTATTTGGTTTCAAATTGTGTAATCTAGTATCTATCGCAACGCAACTGCCAATTAGTTATTCTGATTCACTTCCTCACTAAATTTATTTTTATTAGTAGTTATTAGGCCCTTCAGAGCTCTATATACACCTTCCAAATATACTTAACTAGCAGTACTACCATTTTGGGACCACCACTCGGTCACCTTATTTATTTCAGGACACACAATATCCAAGATGCAGGTTAAGCCCATGTACCTACTCTTTTTATTTAAAAATATCTCCCTTACTTTACTCATCTACATTTTTTGTTTTTATTGCGTAACAAATATGAAGGCAACGAATGCTCCTAGTGAGTGAGAGCCTTTAAAACTTACAAAATTAAAGTACAGAAGAGAATTTAAATGTAGTGTTCAAATAAAAAAAAAACATTTGCAATTTGAGCGACAATTTACATTTTAACAAATGAACGGCACATAAAAAGTACATAAAATATCCTGTGTTTTAGTTATAATTGAAGATTATAAGGTGTACAAGATACCGGATAGGTGTTTACTGTTAATCGATCAGGTATAACATATAATGTGGAATATACATTTATTTTGTGTACTGTGCTAAGTACTCACCGTCTCGGAGCCTGCTGCTGTGACCAACTCTTGTAATGCTCTCACTGATAGCGCCTGGGAAATGAAAAAAATAGCATTAAATCTATATAAATAAAAATGAATTGATGTTCGTTAGTCTGATTAAAACTCGAGAACGGCTGGGCCGATTGAGCTGATTTTGGTTTTAAAATGTTTGTCGCAGTCCAGGGTAGGTCTAAACGGTGAGCAAATACGCGCGCGATATTGTTTTTCTGTGACAGACAAAATTCCACGCGGGCGAAGCCGCGGGCGGAAAGCTAGTCATACATATAAATGATTAGGTACCTGGGCTTATTTTCCTAAAATAGTTAATAGGCCGACAAGAAGGTACGACTATACATATTATTAAAGCATATTGACCATAGTTATAAAATTTTTTGACGTTAAGAGTCGCCTCTTTAATTTAATTTTTTAATTAAAATAACTCGCAAAAATCGAACTGCCTATGGTGGGACTCGAACCCTTAATGAACATGTTTATTTTTATTTGATAAGCAAACAAGCAATTGTGAAGTTATGGTGCGTTGTAGTCAGGGTTCGAGGATATATATCAAGGGATATATATCTTGATATATATCGGATATATATCCGATATATATCCAGCCGGTTTTGATGATATATATCAATTTTTAAAATTTGTAACTGTTTTTGTACTTTTTGACATAAGATTTTTGTTTTTTAGTTGATTTTGCCGTGTTTACATGAAGATTTTATGTTTTTGCTTTATTTGTCTGATTTTAAGTTTTAAAAACATTAAAAACATGTTTATGTAACACATATGCAATGGTATTCATAAATAATACAATAAAATAATAGTATGGCTTTCATACAAATTTGATATATATCAAAGTTGATATATATCGGATATATATCATAAATATCCGATATTTTGATATTTATAATAAATATCGGATATTTTCGAACCCTGGTTGTAGTTCCGCGTAACGTCATGCCGTGCTACACGCAGTGACGTCACGGGCTTCCATAAAAGCATATGATTCATTATCCATTTTGAGCTTTGGTGCTCTATAACTCTGACTGGTCTTTGGTTAAATCAATTTATTGATCAACATCATATCATTCCAGGCACAGGACGTCCACTGCTGAACATAGGCCTCCCCCAATGATTTTCACATTGACCGGTTGGTAGGCCCGCATCCAGCGCCTTCCTTCACCCTTTATAAGGTCATCTGTCTACCTTGTAGCAAGCTATAGAATCATTATTAACAAAGTTAGATACATTAATAGACTTTTGGACCGCTCAGTATAAATAGCGTGTGACACATACCATCTGTCAATGCGTGCCCTAATAAAAACGAGTGACGTGTCGACAGGTGCCATCATACCCAAATACTTATTAAACTGGTCTATTCTTAGCCAATTTCAATTTTATACTACATGTACAGGGTGTTGATAATATTTTTCTCTCCAAATTCCTCTGGTTAATTAGTGAGGGTCGTCTTCCTGCATTAGAAACTAAAATGACCAGTGACATTGACCAATAGACAAAGTATAATTCCTGACAGATTCAAATCAAATCAAAATTATTTAATCAGTTTTGACCAGATAAAAGTATTTTGGCACTAACGAACGTCAAAAATAATTAAAAAAAAGGTAAACCTTAAGGGGCACTTTACACGTCTCCTTACCTTTTGGTACTATTCAATATCAACATCGTTTCACGGAGCGTAGTAGCTACGAACAAAAACGCCAAAGCGATGCGATTTCGAAATTTAAAGTGATATTTATATTACGTTGTCAATTGTGGTGTAGCTATTTTGCTGTAAACCGGCGTTGGTACAATTATTGTAAATGAAATCAAGATATAATTGAAATTTAAATTATAGCTTTCAAAAAGGTAAATCCTAATAATCCTAATTATAACTTAATCTGCAAATACGAGACGACCGTATCGAATCAACCAAATAAGCACTCTGTATTTGGTAGTTTGATTATTAGTGACGTCATAGACATGATTACATGAAATATGACGTTCAAAACTGGTGCGATACCCTAAACAGTTTTAGGCTTAGGACATACGGGGAGCTCTTTAACTGACTTCAATAAAAGAAGGAGGTTCTGTATTATTAAAGGCCTATTATGCGCGCCTTCCAGGCCTTTAGCTTTGTTCTCGCGGCGACAGGTGATACGGTGTTGAACCGGGTTGACAAGTTTGCTTCGTCCTTACCTCTCATAGGCGCAGACAAATCGACTTTTGCGAACTGACACGCAAACTCTGCAGTGTCGAAAGAACAACGAATTTGCGAAGTTTCTAGCTAAATAACTACTAATCATCTTCTCTCCTCGGTTTCCCCGACCGGTTGATTAGGATTTCAGTGTGTCCCCAGCCTAAAGTAGGCATCGCAAACAGTTTTGTATTAACCACGATCCATTTAACCGTTCTCAAATTCCCATCATACGATGTTGAACCTTACCACCTTGTGATAAAGTCCACAATACAATGTCGTTTTTAGCTTGGTCCGTTAAGGGTTAACATAATGTCGGTTTCGGTGGCGGAATATTAACGGCGTTTAAGCACCGGGTTTATAGTTTATTCAGGTTGACGCTTCCATCGCATTTTGGATTAGTAATCTGTAAACAGACTGTTTTTGGCCTTTACTGGTCAATATTAACCACATTGTTTGGAACTTTATTGCTTTGTGGTAATTATGATGACTATGTTTCGTGAAGCGATCGGGAAGTCATGAGTTACATTACCTATCGAGGGAGCAGTTAAATAACCAGAAATACGGATAATTTTCTCTATCCTACTTCCTACCACTCTACGATCAGTCTGTTTTATTCTAAGCTCTGCTATTATCAAAATAAAGTTAGTAGTCGAACCTTTTCCACAGGGCTATTTCCATCCTACTTTTTCACCTGCTTGATGACAAAGAAGCACTACGATACGTTTGGTTGTAAACGTATTAAGAGCAGATATGTTCTTAAAGAGCTGTGCTGGTAGTCCTACCTTGCCGCTACTCTATCTCCATCCTATTCTCTCACCTGGTCGAAGACAGTGACGCACTTTGTATAGTATCATCTTAGTAGGAAGTTCTCTCCGTTAGACTATCTGTATCTTACTCCTTCACCTGCTCAATGACAAAGATGCACTGCGACATGTTATAGGAACATGCAGTGCCAGTAGTCAAACTGTTCGTTACCCTGTCTCCATTATGTTAAAGCTAAGTATATCTATCCTGCTCTCTCACCTCCTCGATGACAAAGACGGACTGCGTCAAGTCTGGTAGAATGTTCTTGTCCGTGGCGTTTACCATTCTAGGCCTAGCAGTGCCGTTACCTAAACTCCTTTGCTGCCCTATCTCGACTATCTCCATCTTACTCCCTCACCTGCTCGATGACAAAGACGCACTGCGACAGGTCCGGTGGTATGTTCTTATCAGCAATGTTTTCCAGGAAGCAGTGCCGGTTGCCGAAGCCCTCAGCCGCCAGACACACTCGCTCTCCTGTGGCCGTGCACGAGAGGCACACCATGTCCTCCTGCAAGGTTGAAAGATGTGATTAGCAAGTTAATAAATAGCATAGATCTGTAAAGGAACTATAGTCACGGATTAGCAAGCTGAAGTGGCAATGGGCAGCGCACAATTACGCAGAACTGACGGCCGATGGGGCAGCAAAGTTCGGGAGTAGAGGTCACGTACTGAAAAGCGTAGCGTAGGGCTTCCACCTACAAGATGGACCGAAGACCTTATAAAGGTAGCAGGAAGGCGCTGGATGCAGGCCGCTACCAACCGACCAATCTGGAAATCATTGGGGGAAGCCTATCGTCAGCAGTGAACGTCCTATTGCTGAAATGATGATGATGATGAATAAATAGCATTAAGGTTGCAGAAAGGCGCTGGATATAATAGACCTCTAACAACCGGCAAATCTAGAAATCATTGGGGGAGACCTATGTTCAGCTGTGGTCTTGTAGCTGACATTATGATGACAAAATCAGATATTCAAATACATGTCCCAAATATAACTTGCTATCTTACTACATCTACTGCTTGCAGTACATTACCATTACATCATTATTACATTACCGCCGATGCGGTAAATAAGTAGCGGAAGAAATGCAGTCCACTTTTTTTTAACCCGTTTGGCCAGTGGGAAATGTAGACAAACGCTAAACCAATTCATGAATCAACGCGAATGAACTTGAATCATACAAAACATAATAATAACGAGTGACACATCCCTGATATTATTGCCAAAAACTTCAACTTTCATAATAACAAAGCATTTCAAAATTTACGAGCCATGAAAACTTGGCATATCTTTGCGTGAGGAAGTGAGAGCAAACACATTTCATCAAGGACCTAGAGCGAGATATAAAAGTCGTTTTACCAAGTTACATGTAGAATTAGGTCAAGGGGAGGCAAAGCTGCGTTCACACTAATGTGAACCTTAATTAAGAGTCAGAGGTCAGCTTTTGGCGCGTGTTTTGTCTCTGTCATCTGGTTACCGCCACAGACTTACGAAAAGTCTTATAACCATTGCAGATGATGATACAATAAATCGAAAGTCGTAAAATTAACATAACTAAGCTACGTACTACTTATGCGACTTGTGACTACCGCGGCGACTAAACGTAGATACCATGTTAGTGGGTGGAGAAAAATTATTTCTATCCCTGAAGAGCATAGGCTGAATATGGATGGACACAGACTGAAATTAACTCGGGCAAAGGCGCGGAAAAAAGCTAATTTTCAATAAATAAATAAGATATTTATTGCCCGCAGTCTGGCGTTTAGTCGCAAAGCTGTGGCATACCGTGCACCGTCTCTTGAAAAGAATTTCACGACAAAACTTTAGAGCTTCATCGAAGAAATTTAATAACCATCGCATTGAAAATGTTTTTTTTTATAACTACGCAAAGTGTAATTAGTAATTGTTCCGTATTGCTGCTTTATAAATTGTTAATTTCATTTTGGGGACGCGAACAAAAGCTGTTGAAAGGTTTTTCATTAGTTGGATCGATAACCAATAATTTCAAGACACGCATTCTTTGAAAAAGCATTATGTCACATCTACATTATATTAGTGCATTATATTTGTGTAGATGTTAAGTTTACAAAAAACCTTTTTTGTATCAGAGTTCCTTGTTGACTACGGAGCCCCAAAAAGGTTTTTATCTATCGGTTGCACGCTCGTACCAAAGTGCAAATGGAATGGATTTTTCCGGAATCCACCAACGTATTCACACGCTAGTGGTGTTAAATAAATCAGCATCCCAAAATTGGGTCAATTGCTGGTGTAATCTGGACCAACTTTGTGTTTTATGAAGCACTAGTTCATTCGTTCCGTTCGTTCGTTCGTGATTGTCGTTATGTCACAGGCATCGCTAAATCTCCAGTTCAAAACACATTACTTTGTATGTATCACCCCATTAAGGGATAATTTCGGGATAAAAACTATCCTTTAATACGTACGTCGGAAACTATTTTCATACTTTTCATTTGAACCAGTTCAGTCTGAACTTAACTTAAAATAAAAAGGTAACAAACAGAGTTACTTTCGCATTTATTATGAACGAACATCCGATTGCTACAATCAAGTATTCAGCAGAAAAATCACCTACAATTTTTCAAGCACACGTCGAACGGTAACCCGCTAAGACGAGCTAATCGAAGCTATTTTATAACATTAGTTTTGTATGATAGAAGTTAAGTATTTTATAACAGAAGTTAAAGTATTTTATGACAGAAGTACCTACAGTATATAGTATAACAGAAGTTAAGTATTGCATAATAGAAGTAAAATATTTACAACAGAAAAGTGAAGAACAGTTAATTTTTCACTTTATGTCCAAGTGACGATAGCGAAACGGCTGTGCCGTACCACATAATCTAAGATGTAGAGCTAGTTTAACAGTGTAGAGTTAAAAGCTTGGCTCTAATATGTTTGTAGTGAGATACCGTATCATTTATTGTACGTATATCTTTCTCTTTCTTTTCTTGTTCTGTGTGTTGTACAAATATAGTCTCTATATTCCCATATTGACATTAAATGGCCGCTTACTTAGCCGTTCATCAAAGGGTCATCAGCACTCAAGTGAAGAGCAAATAAAGGGGAGGCAGTGGAAAGAATATCGTTTCCCCCCGATTCGGGACAAAAGCCGGCTCACTTATGCCGGAGCCCTCTTAACGATGATTTTCTTTGTTTGATCAGGGTTGCCAGTACATTTCGTAATTAAATGCAATTGAATGGATAAATGTTTGAAGGCAATACCTTCAGAGAAAATGCTATTCAGCGAGGAAATGCAGCCAGCATCCTCGCCTCTGCCTGGCGGACACACCTTTATTTTTGAGTAATAAATAAGTTTATACATATATATTTTTTTTTAGTTAAAAAAACACGTGTATTGTAAATAAAGAGAGAATTTGAATGAAACTTTACAGAATAACATTCGATATCTAGGTAGACTATTAATGATTATAATTATTTTTCTGAAATTAATGTCGCAATTCACGTGAGGGAGGGAAGTTGCGAGCAAAAGCTAGTCACAGGAGCTACAATGATTCTCTAGTTTAAAAGTTTTTTTCACCAGAAATATGAAGTATGACGAATTTATACCCTGTGACGAATCTGTGGCAAATCGGCATTAACCCTATCCAATAACCATAAATCTAGCCGATTCGAATGGGTCATAAATTGACAACTATACCAGACTATATCATATCAAATGCACCGAGCTGCACCGAGGCTGTGTGATCAATAGACTGCAAATGGTTTCGGATATGCGACAGAGGTAGGACAGACTTGGTAACTTGGAATGCATAGTGAAATCGTACTATCCTACTAATATTATAATCCTACTAATATTATAAATGCGAAAGTTTGGATGTCTGGATGTTTGTTACTATTTCACGCAAAAACTGCTGACCGGATTTTGTTGAAACTTTACAGTGTTATATTGTTTGTAACCCAGATTAACATATAGGCTATACTATAATTTATATATGTGACACTAAATTTCACGCGGGTGAAGCCGCGGGCAAAAGCTAGTCAGACTATAAATTAGTTCGTAGAAACCTCTAAGTATTACAGATTAAGATGCCACCTTGTTTTTATAATGTCGTCTGTACCATTGAAACCTGAATATCTGTAAGTACTTATCTACTGGATTTTGCTTTGTAATAATTTTAATCAGTCTAATAGGGTTGTGATAATAACCAAGCAGTATTGTCATAAAAACAACGTAAAAAAGGCAACGTAAACTCTAGAAGTACTCACAGATATATTTGCTCTTTTTATAGAACATTTCGTAAAAGTTGGGACGTGATTTTTCTTTCTTGTTTTCATCTCAAACAAAGGCATTGTCATTTTCCTTATTTTCTTACTTTATCTTATTACTGGTGGGTTAACGTTTCAGTATAGAAATAGAGTTCAAAATATACAAGAACACAGTTATATTCGATAAGGGGATAGGGGATCATTTTGGATTTCACAGTATGAGGGAAAAATACTGAATTTTCTTGTAATAGCAAGTAAGCATGCTCGTAAATATCTCAAAAGTTCATCTTGCTCCAAATTAAGCAATATCAAAGGCAAACATAACATAAAAAACCATAACTCAAAAGAAATACATATTACATAATAATATGCTCGAACTCATCACATTCATTACATTTATCTTCAGTGGGATTCGAACCCACAACCACCATTGTCATTGTGCAACATGCATGATTGTAACTATGATTAGTAGGGCCATAGGGACTAAAAAAGGAATCGAAAATCCAAATCGTTTTGCCTGAACCAGCAGTAAATCATGTCTGAAAACATGACCACTTTCCGCGCAGTCGGTTAACACTCGACAGCCCTATCCTCCGGGATAGCATCCAATTACCGGAGCCATCCACGTGGAAGCGGTCCCATTAGTGGCGCCTTTTTAATAACACCGCTTCAAATGGAATCATTTCATGAAGTAACACCTGGGTTTTGAGCTGCTTATACAGGGTGGGTGAAGAAACGCATGTAGGGGAACCGAGCAACATATAACATGAAAACTGAGCAACGTATAGGTAAACTGAAGACCATAAAGAAAAGTGATGTATGTAGGAAATCTGAGCAGCATGTAGGACATTGGTTCCTAAAGTGGGGGGCGCAAAGACGTTTAAAGGGGGGCGCGGGCCATCTGTAAGAAACCTGCGACCGCTGAGAGAATGCATTCCAGACTGCTCGATACGACCTATAAATAATCTTGACTAGCGGATTTTTTATATGGTCGAAAGGGGGCGCGTCTCAAATAAGTTTGGGAACCAATGATGTAAGAGGACTGTGCAACGTGTAGCGTGTGCAATGTATGTGCACTTGCACGTGTAGCGTGTGCATCATCATCAAGTCATTCAGTCCACTGCAGGAGCAGGACCCTCTCTAATTTACCAGAGGCAAATGGAGGATTTGGCTTGCACTCCTCACACTGGCCAGATGGGTTGGGAAGGCCTGATGTTTCCATATTTGTTACAGTCGTCTTTTATAACAAGTCTGGGAGTGAGAGTGACCCTATTCGACTCTGTCGGAACCGCACAGCCAATTTTATTGACAATCTATTGTAGTACACCATATAAAACTGAAAAACGAAAGAAAATATGACATGGAAACGACACAATTTAGGCGGTCTTATCTCTAAGAAGCTGGATTGGAACCCCCAAGGAAAACGCAAACGTGGTCGCCCCAAGCAAACTTGGCGGCGCACTGTGGCAGACGAGGCGAAGAAGATCGGCAAGACTTGGAGCGAGATCAAACACATAGCTCAAGACCGAACGCGATGGAGGACTGTTGTGGACGCCCTCTGCCCCATCTAGGGGACATAGGACCATAAGTCAAGTAAGTCATCTCTAAGAAGCGACCACTCCACATACAAGGAAAAGTTAATAATGACATACTAGAATAAGTGTACAGGATTTTCACACCAAAATCTTTACAAATTACGTCAATTTTGCGCCTAACTATGTAATCTACGTTTGTGAGGTTCCCGAATGACTAAGGAAGATTAATCACATATCCTGACTCCAGACGATGGCAAAAAAGGTTCGCAGGGACCGCGTCTAAGTGCTCTCGGGGGTTTAAATGAAAAGTGACGTAGGTATCGGAGAGATTCGTGGATTTTTAAACATACATAGAAAATATGTCACGTTTATTAATAGCAATCTTTATAGTGCTCTATAATATGTATTTAGTTTGCTGGGACCGGCGGTTATATTTTTTTTTTTACTTAGCCGTTTTATATCTACATGTTAAAAGAGACTACTAGTTCGTTCGTTCGTAAGAACCTAATGACGTCCACTGCTGGACAAAGGCCTCCCCCAAAGATTTCCATAACGACCTGCCCTGCGCTGCCCGTATCCAGGCTCTACCCGCGACCTTCACCAGATCGTCGGTCCACCTAGTACTCCAAGATAAATATTTTGCAGATGATTCGACACCTAACAGTTCGAAATAGAGGTGATTCATCCGAAGATGAAAATATCTTCAGATGAAACTTCACCTAAGTCAATTATGCCCGTATTCACAAACGATGCTTGATTAAGTGAATCTGCAAGTCGAACGCACAGCGTTGAATAGAGTTCTGTTATTGGTTCGTGTGTCACTCTGTGCGTCCACGCGCACTGTGAGACCTCATAGTAATGTTTGTGAATACGGGCGTTACTCGTACATAAATACCATGTAGAACAAGTGAGGGTGGGTGGATGGATGTTTGATCCTCTCACACAAAAACCGATGGAGATGATGGATGAAATGTCCTCGGATAAAACGTCACCTAAGTCAAATATACTCACATAATAGAACAAGTGAGGGTAGATGCATGGATGTTTGATACTCTTTCAAGCAAAAACTACTAAAGGGATTTTGTTTGATGAAACATAAGAAAAATAGCATACGAAGTCTGAGTCAAAGCTTTTAGATAACAGATGCTACAGATCCATGGTAATCATGGTATGCACACTAACATAGATTCCCATCCCATCCACTAAAATCCCCATTCGACTCAAATAAAAACGCCATACCTCAGCGGTTAATTCATAAAATATGCCTCAAAATCCTGAAAGAGGACGTAGTCCATTTAATATTAAGACAGCAATCACACCGGAGCCCGTAAATAGCTCGCCTGCATAATGTAGCCCACACATCACTGCCGGGACAACAGGTGGTATGTATATGAGTATGTATGTAATAATACCACAGATTCGGGCTATTTATTTAGAAAGAAAAAAACAAGTGAATTTAGTTTGTTCTATATTTTTTATTACGTTCGGGCTATTTCATTTCATAGTTAGGGGTATTATTTTTATTACAACAAGCCCTTTATGTCATTTTACGATTTTAAATAACTTGAAAAATGGAATCGCCTAAAGTGGGAATCGAACCTACGACATTAATTTGTTGTATGGGCAAAAGAGTTTATGCTGATTATTAAAATGGAACGATCCTACTGGACACAACGGTCTTATACTGGATTAATTTTGTCCCAAGCATCTTAATTAGATTTATCCACTCCTACTCTGCTTGTAGTAGAGTTGTAGCGATATTTGGCGATATGTATTTTCTAATCTACTAGATTAACAATTTCCATCTCTAGTTAGGTAAATCCATGTAGAATATAAAATTCATCATCATTTCAATCATAGGACGACCACTTTGGGTAAAGAAAATTCATCGCGCCTGAGTGTACCTACGACGCCGCATCTCTTCAGTCTGCCCGCGACCACCCGCGACCATGACTCGTGCAACCGAGTTGAAACGTCGGGAGGGTAAATATCTTATTTACCGTTTTAAAAAGATTTTGTTGCAAAAATCTCCTCAGTCTCCCCTACATCTAAATAAATAATTAAATGTAGCACTTACCGTGCGCAAGAATGAAACATCATCTTGCTCGCTCGCTCCGCCCTCCGCTTCCGCCATGGTTTAGCTCGTCAGCTAACGTTCAGTCAGACTCGCTGCACCATTCCTCTTCAAATGCATAACTGGAACAACCAACATTATCATTAGTTCATGTTTAATTGTTGGTCTTATTTGTTAGTAGATTGAAAATATTTGCAAAAATGTGTGTATTAATCATTGAGCCATTTTCAGTTAGTGGTAATGTCTACATTAGGTTTTCCTGTGTCGTAGGTAGAATACAGGCTTTTTTTCATCATCATCATCTCAGCCATAGGACGTCCACTGCTGAACATAGGCCTCCCCCAATGCTTTCCATGTTGCCCGGTTGGTAGCGGCCTGCGTCCAGCGCCTTCTTGCTACCTTTATAATGTCGTCGGTCCACCTTGTAGGCTGATCATTTCAGCTTCGTCACTCGATTCAATCTTACTGTCAATCTCAATAGATCTTTAGTCTTTACTGTGATTGTTCTGAATATCAAAATTCAACCACTCGCATTCAAGCACTCGCTTTTGACTGCTTGAATTTCGATGTTCTTCAAACTGAATTTTTAACGTTGATTTTAAAGTTAAAATCAACGTTTGAAATTCAGTCAAGTTTTGAAGTTACACCAGTTTATGATTGGACTTTTTCTATACAAATTCAATCAATTAAAAAATAATGCTCGAGTTTGAACAAGTTTTGTGTGTCACTTTCCTGGCCGCGAGTAATTATCAACAAAAATGCATATAAAATAAAGAACATTTTCGCATGTCACGTCAGATGCTCGTTTGTGCAACTGCTAACAACGTTACTGTCGCAGCGTATGGAGAATTGCACTGCATTGCAGTTTGCCTTTTCAATTTACGTCTATTGCTAATAAAATTGTGATTCGATAAACAACGTTATTTGGTACATAATACGATAATAAAATAAGAAAGAAAGAAGAAGAAAATAGAAAAAGTATTTATTCGATGCAAGTATAAAATAAAATAACAAATAGAAATACACTAAAGAGACAGTAAAATTTAAGCGGTCTTATAGATATGACCCGATCTCTAGAGAACCTAGGAGAGGATAGTGTTGTAAGAAATACACAAAAGACACGGTTTAAGCGGTCTTATTGCTATGAAGAGATTTCTTCCAGAGAACCTAGAGAGAGGACAGTTGTTTAAAATGAGTAAAGGGAAAGGTTAAAATAAGTGGTTTAAAATAAGAACGTATATCAAATGTGAAAGTTTTTCAGGATGGATAGATATTTGTTAGGTACTATTTCACGCTATAATTTACATATTAGTTATTATAAATCAACGCGAACGAAGGTGCGGACCAAAGCTAGTATACCATAAACTTATGTAAAGGCTCAATTTATATAAAAAACCTGTACTAAAGATACTTCTGTGACAAACTGAATTTTACGCAAGCGAAGCTGCGAGTAAAGCTTAGTATCCCATATTTCTCGCTAATGCTGTTTCTAATTAAGCCAACTGTACTACAGCGACATCTATTCGGGACATCTTAACTACTAGCACCGGATCAATTAAGATCCGGATCTGGAACTAACATACTGCACTAAGTCGCTACATGTCCCCAGAGTTACGACATCACACAGCTGTCTTAAGATGTACAGTCGCGGAATGAAAAGGTTCGTCACCTTAGTGTCGGTTTTCGCTTGCACTAGGTGCTGTGAGAGTCAAACCTGCCAACATAACAGTGCAAGAAACAGTGCTGCTAACATTTAAATAACGTATGACGTTTGCTAACGAATAAGGTTTTGCTTGTTTATTTTTCTATCCCATCAGTGCAATGCAATGATGACATTGACCAATTGACAATAGTTTTTTTTATTTAAAAGAAATAATAATGGCAGGTTGAACCAACAAGAAGGTTTTAGTTTATCAATCATAATAATCTTCTTGACAAGATAAATCGTCAAAATTTGATCTGAATAATTTTGAACTTTACTGACGAACAGTTAAAGATTATTTTCTCTAACTCGAGATTATTCTGCAACATAGTTTCAAAAGGTAATATGTGCTCGTGATTCGTTGAAGGAATCAATTTGAAAACTGACGAACCTTTTCATTCCGTGACTGTACTATTACTACAAGTAGATAAAGCTTTAAATCTTTGGATACTGCATAGTTTTAGTTTAGATGTGTATTACAGAACTCTGAGCACGAATAATTCTCGTAATCTTTAGTAGGTAATCGTGGCAGCGCTGTTTTATTTTTCGTTTGGTTGAAACTCAGGAAATACTAGTCCAAATTGAAATTATTTTCGTGTTGGGTAGTCCATTAATCAAGGAATAAGGATATCACGCTACGACCAATAAGAACAGCATCAAACATTGCAAAAACGGCAAGAAATATTCAAACCATTTTAACGCATTTGAAGTGGTGGACTCAGCTAGTCTTGAATAGATTTCGAACCCTAGATTTATCTGGCGCCCGTACAAGACCTGACCGGTGACAACTCACTGAGTTATGCCCTCTGAATCTCTACTTCCCACAAATCTAAATTTCATCCAATCTTGGCTCCCATCCAAATGACGTGTATCCCAATTCCCTGGGGAATATCTTCGCTGTAGTAGGAGGCCTTTGTCCAGCAGTGGACGTCATTTGGCTGAAACGAACGAAGGAAGGAAGTAGGATGGAGAAGATTGGAACCAAAAATTTTAAGACAAGTTAAGAGACCACCTTTAGTCTTGATGTTCAAGTCAATTGTTATTATGATTATGATACTAGCGGCCGCCCGCGACTTCGTACGCGTGGATCCCGTTTTACCCCCTTAGGAGTTGTATTTCTCAATCCCGTCTTAGTGAGCACCTACGTTCTAAAAGGAACCCCCATGCAAAATTTGAGGCTCCTAGCTCTTGTAGTTTCTGAGATTCCATGATGAGTGAGTCAGTCAATCAGTGACCATTCGCTTTTATAGACATAGATTGACTAGAACTTTTCAAATACCCTACTACCTCATTGATTGAATTCATACTTGCACCCTATAAAACTTTGTGCAGTGTTGAAAAACAGTTTTATTTTGATTGATTTCCGCCTTTTCATGGAAAACGCTCACGTCACGTTTCATAGAGAATGACTAATGGTAGCGAGCTGAAAATAAATTACTGTAATGCTGAAACAATGCTTTCATTAGCATTCATGAACTTGTGTTAGTTAGGTTTAATCGAAATCTTTTAATTAAAAAAATGGGAATTTTGAAGTGAAAAGGGATGTGGACTGTGGTTACCGTTAAAATAAAACCACGTTTGTGAAGATACATGGATGTATGTATGTTACTTATTGACGCCAAAACTGCTGGACGGATTTTGATGGAACTTTTTCATATAAATTATTTCGATGTAATAATAGATGATTTTGCTACAAGAATGTTGTCAGATATAGTTAATGAGCTCAAAACTTTAAATTGTGGTTTTATTAATCATTATTTTAATAACTTACTCGTATTACGACAAAAATCAAAAATACGAGTAAGTTACCTAATTAACGAACTGTAGAAATTTCTTAAATATTTCTGGAACAAAGTTTTGTGGTTATTAGCTTACACATAATATGCAATAAAAAAAATTGAATTTAAAAAAAAATAGTCTGTAAATCCACCAATATGTCATTTTAAACACCCTGTATTATGTCAATGAAGCTATCAAGATTAAACAGTACCTATAGTCTATCCAGGAACCTAAAGCAATACTGCGTATTTACCCACCCCTTTCATTAAACGGAATAGAAAGGTCGTGGAATTTTCGAGAAGGGTGGGAAATTCCCGCACAGGTAGGCATGACATATTACCTGACCCATGTGTCATTTGTGAGCCGGTATAATTTGAATGAAGACGATTTGCGATTGATAATATGGACCTGAATAGAAAAAAACCGGCTACGATCCCCCTTGCTAATAAAAAGTTACATAGTTGTTGAACACTGTTTTAAAATGACATTTCCATACTAAACGTCACTTTAAAACACTGTTCAACGAGCGTGACATTGACACGTACCCGGTCTAAAATGTATCACAAACCATCATCATCATCATTTAACGAAAGGTGACTGAATGTCTGTCTGTTGGTTTGTTGACAAACTTGACCTTCTTTGGTTGGGTTTTTATGGCGGTCAAGCTGTAGATCCTGGCTGCACAGGAGTTGCAGTGGTGGGAACGAGAGGTGGGAATAGTCCCGTATCATCATCATTTCAGACATAACTAACTATATCTGAAATGATGATGATACGGGACTATTCACATCTAGGCCTCCCCAGTGATTTCTCGATTATCTTTAAGCCGACTAAATAATTGCTATCCATTTAATACATTCCAGAATAATCTGCTATTCCCTTCACCTGAAACCCTACTTATGTAAGCCACTTGATATAAGTACTGCATGACCCTTAAACTCTACGTGTTGGTTTCCAGTTGCCCTGTGGTACGGTTGAGGTAATTCTGTAGCCATTTTGTGAGATTCAGATATTTTTCTTCACGTGAGTTGTAGCAAATAAGTAAGGTAAAGGAGTGCAGATGCGGTTTTGTTCCCCAGTCGATGAGGCACCTGATGTCATGCCCTGAGTGCCCAAGCAACTGCACTCAGGAGGATTTGATGAGTGCTACTGACAACGCCACTCTTGTGGCGGAGTTTTGGGCTGACACTGTGTAGGTTTGTTGTCGAAACGAAAAGAAGAAGAAGTAAGGTAACAAATGAAGCGTTAAAACTCTTTTATAATGCGAACAGTTAGGACTGAAATTCGCTGCCTGCTTCTCTTTCCCGAACACTATAATCCACATCTCATTTAACACCAGGTGCGATTGCGGTCAGATACCTGCCTTGTTACGCATAAAAAATAGCCAATCCCGTTTCTGTGGTCTAGTGTTAAGACCATCTGCTTCAGACCCAGACGTCTCGGGTGCGATTTCTGTGGGGGCAGATATTCCCGTTCGGTTTGGTTGGTAGTAGGGCTTGTTTTAAATCCGCTTGGCTAGCTACCACCATCTTACTTAAGTCTGTTGCCATAACAACAAAAAATGTTAATAGCATTGTTATGTTCCGGCAGTTAGAGCCAGTTCCTCTGTGGTTGAGGATTCCGGGTGAAGCTCTCTTCTAC